GTACTTTATAACTTGACACCCTGTACGTACATGTCCAACTGCCACTTTAAAAACTTGATTCAAGTGTCATTTTCCAGTGATTCTGAAATACTCCCAATATACCAGGTGTCATAAAGAGCTGCATAATATTTTTCATTGGATAATGATATTTCCACTTGTTTCACGTCAGATCCAGCATTCGATTCTTAAAAAAAAAGAAATACTGCTGAATTCGAAAATGAGAGCAACAAAAACTTGATGTCAATTATTATCAATGTACCGCAAAAACGCGCCATATCCCGATCAACAGCTGATTTTCTATCCCCACTAGAGTTGATTTTTAGCGATTTCAGAGATTGCAAAGGTGATTGCGTAGGATTTCAGTGATCGCGGAAAACGATTTCGGGACTGCAAGAAGGATTTCGGATATTTGCGAACTGACTGCGAGTTTTCAGAATGATTTTGAAGATGATTTCAGGCTAAATGTATTGCAGGAAGTGGTTGCCCCCTCGAGAATCACTTATTATTGAAAAAAAAATATAGTAGGTGTCTTTTAATTATTTCTCTCCTAACAATCTATGGTAGGCCCAAGCTGTATTTTAATATAGTTTATGTTTATATAGGGTCTGTTTCTGCAGAAATCACAAACCAATCAGAGTGGGCTCTGCTTACGGAGGTACTATTGTGCTTGCAAATGAGACACTTATTGGTGACTTGAGTTTTTCTAATGTTTGCAAGTTTGATTATTTGACTGTTGAAAGGGTATTTGAATGTTCTATTGTATATTGTTCCAAATATAGAATTTATGTCGTATGCCTTTATCGCTCTCCGTCAGGTAATCTGACGATTTTTTTAAATAATTTAGAAATATTATTTATTTTATAAGTTTATAAGTAATTTACCTGTTGATTGTTCAATTATCCTTACTGGAGATTTGAATGTTGATTTTAATGGAGCTTCTAGTGGTTGTGTTATTAATTTGCTGTCCTGTTTTAATCTTAAAATGCATGTCACAGAGCCTACTAGATTAACCAAGCATACCTCTACTACTTTGGATTATATTTGTTCGAATATATCGTGTATTTCTTGCAGTTTCAGGCATTCTGGAATTTCAGATCATGAAGCTGTCGTATCAAAATTCAAATTTAACCTTAAAACACCTAAATCTGTCTCAAAGAAAGGAAGACTATACTGTAAGAAAAACTTTAGAAAATTTCGCGAGCAGAGCAACCAGGTTGACTGGAATTTCTCTACCTGTGATAATCCTCTACAGCAGTTCCATTATGCGTTGTCATATGTTTTTAATAAAGCCTTTCCCATTGTTGTTATAAAGAATAAAACCAAAAAACCCTGGTTGACTAAATCAATTAGAGTATCTGCGCAAATTATGCGAGCACTTCATTACATTAGAAAGTTTTTCATGGACAGTCTGTATTTTGTCTCTTATTTCAACAGGTATAGGGCTGTCTATCGGAGGGTGGTGAGGTCAGCAAAGAGGCTGCACTATAGTCAATGTATTAGAAAATCGAGAAACAAGTCAAAGGAAGCATGGTTGATTGTTAACAACCTTAGACAGTCAGATAATAGTAATGACAAGGGCTTACACCATGACCCCAATGAGCTTAATGATTTTTACTCTTCCCTTGGCTCAGGGTTGTCTTCGAAAATTACCTCTAGTGTAAATCCCCTCACATATCTCACTAGATCATATACATCAAGCACCTTTTTTATGTACCCAACAGACATTAGGGAATTAAAAATAGTTATTTATGATATAAGTGTTAAAAGTACATTTTTAAGGCACGCATGTAAAAGTTTGCAGATTGAGCGAAGCGAAGAATTCTGCAATTCACATAAGTGCCTTAAAAATACTTTTAACACAAATATCATACAATATTTTTTCTACAAACGGCAATAACAAGCAATAACCAGTGACAAATTGGATTTTTAAATGAATAATAAATTGGAAGCATCTTTCCTACGTAAAATTATTGAATTTGATATTTGTCAAAAAATTCAAACAACCAGCACCTTGTTTTACAGGTAATGAAATGTCTCGTCAGTTTCTTGAAAGTCTGTCGTATGGTCTATCGTGGTCAGTAAGCTTTTTGCTAAAAATGCAACAAAATACACAAGAAAAAGAGGGTTGCATCAATCCCTTGAAAAATATAGAGGAGGCGGCCGATGGAGCTTCCTCAGTTGTTCAAATTTTACCATTAATATTAATGTAAATAATTAAAAATACAAACTTTTTTTGACGTTTGCTTTCAAATTTTGATGTTTCATTTTTAACACTAGTGCCTTAAAGACTTTTAACACTAGTGCGATAAAGTAACATTTTTAATGCTTCGAGGGGGTGTTAAAAATTGCATTTTTAACACGTTTGTAGAAAAACATATTTTTAGAGATTAAAAACAAAAACGCATCAGGGTGGGACGACATTTCCGTAAAAATTTTTTGTGAGTTGAGTGGATCAGCACTGGAGTCTTTAGTAGATGCAATTAACTATTCATTCATTAATGGACAATTTCCATGTTTCCTTAAAAGGGCTGTTATCGTGCCATTGCACAAAGGAGGGAATGACTTCAGTCCTTCAAATTTTAGACCAATTTCCTTGCTTCCCACTTTGTCCAAAATTATAGAAAAACTTGTAAAAAACAGAGTTGTGTCTTTTCTATTGAAAAATAAGATCTTAAATTCGGAACAGTTTGGCTTTCAAAATGAAAAAAACACAACTAATGCACTTTTTTCTTTCTTAGAGAAACTATATGTAACCCTCAATAACGGGGACATTGCTGGTGCAGTCTTCTGCGACCTGACCAAGGCTTTTGATTGTGTCAGTCACAGTATTCTACTACAAAAGCTAGAAGTTTACGGGTTTCGAGGTGTTGCCCTCAACTGGTTCAGGTCCTATCTGTCGGAAAGAACTCAGACTGTTTCCATAGTGGGAAAAATGTCAGATGTTCAAAATATCAATTGTGGGGTACCTCAGGGTTCTGTCCTGGGACCAATCTTGTTCCTCCTGTATATTAATGATATCACCAATATTGATATATCAGGCTCATTCACTCTCTTTGCTGATGCTACTATTATTCTCTGGCGTGACTCGACCAATTCTTCTCTTAACTATAGAATCCAAAAAGATTTGCAGGAAATAAAGAGGTGGTTTGACAGCAACCTCTTAACGCTTAATGTTACTAAAACTAATATTCTGACTTTCAAATGTGATTTACAGGAAATTCAAATTGAAACAATTACACTCAACCCCACGCCATGTGTGAAATTTCTTGGGATACGTGTTGATAGTTCGCTTAACTTTAGTAATCACATTGCAAAACTGTTGAATAAACTGTCATCTGGCTGTTATGCCTTAAGAACCATAGCAAAAAACTTGAACCACAGGTAGTTAAGATGGCTTACTATGTTCTGATCGAGTCACATTTACGTTACGGAATTGCTTTCTGGGGAGGTTGCTCCAGTTATATGTTTAATTCAGTTTTTGTTTTGCAAAAAAGAGCACTACGGTTTATGTACGGTTTACCATACCGTGAATCTTGTAAACCATGCTTTCTGAGAGAAGGACTTCTAACATTGCCGTGTGTTTTTATTGCAGAGAGTGTATGTTTGGTTTACAAAAAATATAAAAGCTCTATTCCAGTGGGGCATTACAGTGCTTGGCGATTTATTTATTGCGAAGAATAAAAGTATCGAACAGTTTTTTTGCTCTACAGCCAAATGGCTCATTTGCGGACATATGTTTATATAAACAAAAATGCTTGTTTTGATGTCCCCTACTACCCCTTAAAGTTTGTCGGTATCTTTTTGGGACACCCTGTATAGTGCCAAAAAGATGTACAATCATTTGCCAAATGAATTAAAGGATATAAATACCTTTAAAGGATTTCGAGGCAAAATGAAAAAGTTCCTTTCTAGTCGGGCATATTATAATGTGTCAGAATTTTTTACAGACCAATTTTAAAGAATGTATATACATTATGTTTTTATGTTTTTTTTTTAAATTTTGCTGCAAAAAAAAAATCAATGTCTTGTTGTTAATTGTAATATCCATTGTTATTTTTAGTTATTATAACTTTTTTAGGCGACTGTCACAAAAAGATTAGTTTTACGGATTCAATATCATCCCTAAAGTATATCTTTTTTGGCCGCATTTACTTTACGGCCGCATTCACTTCACGGCCGCATTTGCTTTATTACTTTACGGCCGCTTTTACACAATAGTTCTTTGTGTACCAAGGCCGTAAAGTTGATCTTTTTTGGCCGAATCAGAAATTTGCGGCCGAGGCGCAGCCGAGGTCAAGCAAATTTCAGGTGAGGCCAAAAAAGATCATTCGGCCGAGGTGCACACAAAATTTTTTAGGCGAGTGTTTGTTCTTGAAAAAAGAAGAAAATTCAACAGTAGCTTTAAACTTTATTGATCAAATAAATAATCCAGCAAAGATAGGTAGATACACAATTATTAATAACAAAAACTACGGTAAAGAGAGTGTGATTATAGAAAAAATTGGTTATTTTCACCAAAGTAGCGGCCGTAAAGTAAAAGCGGCCGTGAAGTAAAAGCGGCCGTAAAGTAATAAAGCAAATGCGGCCGTGAAGTAATAAAGCAAATGCGGCCGTGAAGTGAATGCGGCCGTAAAGTAAATGCGGCCAAAAAAGATATACTTTAGGGATGATATTGAATCCGTAAAACTAATCTTTTTGTGACAGTCGCCTAAAAATAACTATTTAATCATGACATATTGACTAGTTTGTGTACACTTATAATTTAGATTTTTATTGCATGTATTTTGTTTATTGTATCATTTTGATAAGACTGTTTTATTAATTAGATGGTAAGACTTGGCTTTGTCAGTAAATACTTATTTTGGACAATAAAGCTGGATTTATAGTGTCAGTATCAGTAACAGTAGCTAAAGCTTTTTTTGAATTTGAAAATTTGAATTTTATTGGTTGAAACTAGTTTTCTGACTATTTTCAAACATTGAAATTAGCTCCGACTGGTTGGTAACTTCATGAAAAAACACATTAGTCAAAAGAGCAAATTGTACATAATTTAGCAAATGTATATAATTTACCTCCTTCAAGAACTGGGTGACATCATAAACATCATTGTTGATCACAATCCAGGTGCTTTTACTGTCGTTGTGTTTTTCGATTTCCTTGAAGGAATATTGTTCAATTGCTTTGGCCATCTTCTGAAGATAGATCCGCTAAAGTTGCAAACAAAAATATAGGATTAGGATGAAAATTAATGTTGATAGGAATTTACCTTTCCCTTCTTGGCTTCCCTTTAACTTTCAGTTTATTTTGATTTTAATGGAAATTTTACTACTCTATGCTAAGCAAAAACCTAAATGGGATGGTCAAGAAGTCAAGACCAAGGTCAAGACTCATCAAGGAAAAGAAACAAGAAACCGTCAACCACAACAAATCGACAGTGGCCAGTAATGTCAGTTGCCAGTTATTTTCAGGTCAAAATGTTTTCACTTGTATTTGTAACTGCTAGATCTGCTCCGAGCAGATACGAAATACGAAGCCCGATTCGAAGCTGCGTTTTCGTGAAAGTTTTTAACGCCGCACCACTGTTTTTCTCAGAAGAGTCTAGATGTGCTCGGAGCTGCTCTAATAGGTAAAAATGAAAAGCTCCTGACTCCATCCGAACAGCACCTTCGAAGGTCGAGTTCGGGAATCACTTAATAGTCCATTAACACGCTGAAAGAGAGAGATAGATATAACCCCTAGAATAATGCTTTCCAATTTTCCGTATGCTGCCATCTTCCGCAGTACGAGCAAATTAAATTTTGAAATAACTGTTACATTATTTATATTTTTCTTGATTACTAAAAGTGGAATGATTGGTTTTTGAAGCCACTCACAAAAAAATAATAAACTACAAAGTTAAAATGCCCGTTGAAACATGTTTATCAAGTTTATTTGCAATAAGGTGCGCTGCTCACTTGAAATTTGTTCTTTCTTATAATGCGTAAATTTTTTAGATTCGACTTTGGTGTGCCCCTAGAAGATATTTTCCATCGAGATGATGTTCATCCACGACTGAAGGTAAGAAAGTAATTCTATTTGTTAAGCAAACAATAAAAATTATATTTGACTCTAGCACCTATTCCATACTGCATTTGCGTCATATTCAGAGCAAAGATCCGATATTGAAGATGTCCTAAAATATGGACAAGGAACGGTGAATGACTGCTTAATGCTCAAGGATACTCTTGTACTTGATGAAAAATATGACTCGAATCTTGAAGGGAATCTTCCAGGCACTTATTTTTGGTTGATAAGACACTTTATGGGTCTTTTGCCTTTGCCCTTATTTCCAAAATTTACGAATGGTATACATTTTCATTGGAATTCAGTTGCTAACGAATGTAAAATGGCTTTTAAAACGTGTGACAACAGGGAAAGGAATCGATTAGACTATGATATCGCTCAGTTAGTACTTAAATTTTTGTTTAACATTAGGCCTATTCGGGTTTGGAAAAAGGACGGTTCTAGAACGATTCAAAACAATCGTCCAGTTTATTGATCAACAAAATAACAACGACTCGACTATCACAAATTTCAATAATAAACTGTGCGATTCTTCTGGACTCTGGACCGTTCTAGAACCGTACTTTTTCCAAACCCGAATAGGCCTATTCTCAGCGGCACTTCTGGTTCTTATTAAGACTGACTAAGCTAATTAGACCTCTAATTATTAGAATTTTGAAAACAAATATGTTTCTAACAGATATAGGTACCATCATAAAGAGAAGAAGCGAGTTCACTTGAAAGTGTAAAGAGATCATCCCCCAAGCACCAATAGCTGGCATGAATTGGATCACTTTTGTTCGTCAATTATCAGTGAGATCAGACGTTATTATCGCTTTTTAATTGACGTCTTCAAAGTCCCATGACGATAGGATGAGGATCACGTGATTATGTCATATCTGGGCCATTTTATGACGTAAAAATGAGCGATTTTATGACGTTCAACATGATTCATGACCTAAAAATACGTGATCCTGGGTTATGTGATTCAAATCCTAGTCGAGGCAAGAAAATTTTTCATCAGTTTTAATAAATGTATATTCCTATATATTCCTTTTTACTCCATGTATTTATTCATTGTGAAAATTTGGCTGGAGGTATATCACAGACCGAGTCACAAGCGATAGAAACTAAATCCGTAATAACGTTGGCATATTTGAAACTTGGATTAGCTTAATCATCTTTAATCAAGAACCAAAGAAGCAAGCTCTGGTACTATTTAAAACAGTTGTTAAAAATTTTATTATTTTTAGATGTTTAGATGCACTACCAATACAGAATGGTATGCTAATCAATATACTAATGAAATTTATAAGAAAAATATGTATGAGAACAGTCAGGGGACATTATAAATTCAATAAGAATTCTTTGATTACCCTCAGCAAATATTTTTGTGAGTCTTTGTTTGTAAGACCATACATACCTGGACACCTCCAAAAGGTAATAACTTAATTATTCAACGTGTTATTTTATGCTTAAATAATTTTTGTAGAGTGAATACCAAGTTTTGTTGCTTTATTTGGTACTCAGATGGCATAAAATTACTGAACACTGCTGTTCTATTGAACCTCCAACTAATTTAAATGAATTTGAAGTGAGTAACAAGAAAAGCGCTATTATTGAAACAGATTCCAATGTGATAAACCCCATTCCATACTTTTGTAACACGGTTTCCCAAACTGAAACGGATTTAATAAGTAAAGAAATCGAAAAAAATATTGATAATTCGAAGAATGCCTACACACTAGCATATATTGAGGAAGTACTAGAGGAAGATTGTGAATCACCCACAAATGATGGCGATAATACATTATATCAAACAGCCTATGATATTACTTTTAATAATATTTTGGAAGAAGAGCAAAAAAAAGAATGGAAAAAAGTTGTTGAAGAAACTATGCAGAAGGTTAAAAAAGTTGAGGAGGCGTATTTTTATGACGATTACGAAACTTTGAAAAATGAAGAATTCAACCACATTCCTAGTGTTCAATCAAAAGCAGATTCATTTTTGTCAAAGATTCGTCGACATAGCTTCAAAAAATGCAGTACGCCAAAAGACAAATCGCCTGATAGCGAAAATAGTTATGTGAAATATCCTGACGTGTGTGATAGTGATAATGGGTCACGAAAAAGTCTAAATAGTGAGCAAAAACGATGTAATCTTGGTATTGATACTACAATATCTCAAAAACTTTTTGAAGCCAATACTAGTCCTTGCAGTGAAGAGGATGAAGATAGCAAAAGAACCCTAAAAGATAAAAATCTGAAAAATATGTCTAGACAGCAATTTTTCTTCAGAGGAATAAGATGGAGTCTACAACTTTTAAGAGCCTTAACACCAAGGAAGAGTACTTTCCGCTTAATTGAAAGCAATGTTAAGTATCACAGAATGAAAAGAGGCAGATCTCATACTATTTAGTTGTGTTATTTATTTATTTATATAATAATATGTTTCATTATACAGAATTTAAGTTTGATTTTGAGAATTTTCTATTTAGTTTAAAAATACAATGTTGTTATGTTTATATTTGAATTATTTGTAATAAATGAGAAGAAATATAAACATCTAGTTTTCGTTTCTAAATTCCTCCTTGGGTTTCACTAGATAATCTGACAGTTACCTACAAGGGTATTATACTGGTTGTAGTAAAAGACTGTCCAATTTAAAATAGAGCGAAAATTGATGAATATGTATGTACTTGAAACAGTTGCAAATCTTCGTTATGGAGATCAGGTTGAATATGTTTCCTTTAAACCCACACTCGTTCTTTGAGCCTGAGAAAATATCCTTGCTTTGGCCTAGTTGAAATATCCATTCTCAATTCTAAATCGGGCACTTTTCCATCTGCTTCGATTTCAAATCGTTGAAGCAAATTACAAATGAATATTTTCAATGCAGTGTTTGCTAGAGTTTTGCCTAGAATGAAAATTTTTAGGAAAACTTAATAATGGAATCAGTTTACCTACCAATGCAGCCTCTTGAGCCAGCACTAAAAGGAAGATATGCATAGATGTGTCTTTTGCTAACGACTTCTGGCAAAAAATGGTCTGGATGGAAATGATCTGGATTTTCCCAATATTTTCTATTTCTGTGAATAGTGAATATAGGCATGGCAATTGCGCAATCTTTAGGAATCGAGCAATTTTCTACAATATAATCAATGAAAATACAAATAACAAGCGTTGAAATAATATGTGCATACCCAACTTAAAATCATCTGTACATTTTCGCAAAATCACTGGGGCAATAGGAAATAATCTTAAAGTATCTTTAATGCACATATCCAAGTAATTTAACTTGTTAATATCCTGCATTGTAACGGGTCTAGGAGTTTCTCCAAAAATTTCCCTTATTTCCTTTGCAGCTTTTTCTTGATATTTTGGATACATTCCCAGGCACATGGATACAAATCCAGATATAACTGTGATGGTATCCTCAGACTGAAATGTTATTCGTTAGTCTTCCAAGGTTTTAGTTATCAATTACTTACGGCCGCATATAAAGTTAGTAAATGATCAGCAAGCACTTCTTGGCTTATAATTCCAGGATTTTCCTCTACAAAGTCTAATAATCTATCAATTATTGGATAAAATTCGTTTGATATTTTTAATTCTTTTCTTCGTTTATGTGAGAACTCAATCATCTGCATTAGAATTACATATTTATTTTATATGATTTGTATAGTATTTATTATTACTTACTAGTTTCACTTCATTCTTTAGAATATTTTGTAATTCATCCTGTCTTCTCTTATATGGCGTTAAGTTATAAATAATATCTGGTTGAAGATATGGTTTGGCCATTCGTGAAAATCCAAAATTATAGACACTAAATGTATAGTATTATTTTTCAATAATAATTACTCATATAGACTTACTCAATCATGGCTTGATCAAAATCGCTTAATCTATTATTAATTTGACTTCTTTCACAAGACCCTAGTATAATTTCTGAAAAAAAAAACATACATAGTTTTTATAAAATTAATAATAAAATTATTATTCACCTTTAATCATATCAATCATACATTTATGAATAACTTCGTGAAAATCAAATGTGCCCTTATTCACAAAAGCTTCCAGTTTCTTCATACACAAATCAACATGTTTTTGAACAAAAACTGAACTTTCGTTAACGAAATTTAAGTTGAACATTGGTTGAATGATTCTTCTATGTGGTTTATGTGTAGGACCTGGTTTTTATTGTCAGTATTATAAGTAAGAAATAATATACATTATGACTCACCTGATCCACTAATTAGTCCTTCGCCCAAGTATATTTTTATAAATTCGTATATGTCGTGCTTTTGAGCAAACTTGGATGAAGACAGGATTTTCTACATAAAACAAGAATTTTTCTGTTTGGTTGAGTTTTGTGAGTTTTTTGTCTTACCTCAACATGATCTGGATTCATTAGAATAATTATCAGTATTGGGCCAAGCCAAAATCGGATAGGTTTGTCGTTATTGTACTTTTTGGTTAAATGATAAATTCTCATTAGGATTTCTAGAAAAAATTAGGTAGGTATCAAAAAATAGGCTCCTCAATGATTAGGCTTCAAAAATTAAGGAATCACTTACCTTCATTCTTGCATAAAAATAGCCAGGCATTGCCTATAAGTGGTAACGCTAGTGGACCATTGAATTTTCTTGATGCCCAGTACCAATTTCTTTTATTCCATAAATAGAGAAAAATTTGGAAAGTTATTATAACTAAAGAAATTATAGCTAAAATATATGTAAACCTCGATGATGTAAACCTAAAATAACGAAAGTAATTACTATAAGTATTATTAACTGGATCATGAATTAACACAAAGTAATGAATCTTGAATTTTCATAGTCAGGAAAAATTAGAAGCTTGATATATCAACACGATAATAATTAACATACATTTTCGGCTTTAGGGAAATTAGTGGTCATACTTACGAATTCATCGCTGTCTTTCAAATACAACTTAACTAGTAGCTGCACAGTGGAACACAACAAGTGTTTACTTACCTATGATGAAAAAAACGAGTATTGAAGATATCTTTCTTTATGTGAAGATTTGACCATGAAGACTTAAATTGGAACAAAGTCAACGCACATTATTGTGTAAACTGCTTTAATGCATTGCGGTGACACAAATTGTCTTATTTTTCGTAAAATAAATGTTCATCTCCCTGTAATTTATTTACGAAGATATTTTATTCCGTGTGGCTTCAGAATAAAATAAAACAAAATATCTGAACTGCATCAAAACGTATATTTTAATTTGTTTTCAAGTTCTTTTGGAAATTTTAATCATATAGCCATTCATTGGTCTTATAGAGATATCGGTCATCAATTCCAGATTTTCGAGTGTGGTTGGACAGTCGATTGAGTAATTCATCAATATATTTCCTATAATGATCTTCATATTTACCAAGGAATATTGCTGAGCTGAAAATATAAGATGATCAAACATCAAGCAAGTGTTAATTTGTACAGGGTGGAAATAAGTTTAACTGGAATAAATTCCGTAGGTAAAGATTTTTTTTTCTGAAAATCCAAAACCTTGCCAACCTTATCGGTAATATGGAGATCTTTTTCTTTGATTGTGCTTTAAAATTTGAAATTTAACATTTCAGTCCAGCTAAACTTTGTAGCCCATAGGAAACTTACCAATGCATCGACGGGGACCTCCACTAAACGGTAAATATGCGAAAGGATGTCTTTTAGAAGACGCCTCGTCTGTAAAATGTTCTGGATAAAATTTTTTAGGATTTACCCAATGTTTTGAATCTCTGTGTACGTTATAAACTCCCAAAAGTACGGTGCATCCTCTAGGAATCGTGTATTTGCCTGAAAAACATTATCCAGATTATCAAAATTAAATTTAGAACCTTTTAAACTTCATTTTATAAGACAGTATTGATCTGAGCGAGGTCAGATTTCTTTTAGTTCATTAAGGATTTTAGGAAAAAGTGCCAACAAATTTGAGAGAGAAATCTGACATTTTGTTTCACCAATAAATAATGCAAAACTGTTTCTGTTTCTCGCTTGTCCAGATAATAATTGTAAACAGTATTACCTAGCTGGAATTCTTCTAAAACATCTCTTGGTAAAAACGGCCCCAATGGAAATAAACGCATTGCTTCTTTTATGCACATCTCTAAGTATTTAAGTTTGCCAGCATCGCCAAAAGTAATTATTTTTCGATTATCTAGGACATCATTGAGTTCTTCGATGACTTTTTTCTGGGACATAAAACTATCAATGAAAAATTTGAAATATTTACACAAATAGGTACCTGTATATCTTTATAAATGCCTAGCATCATTAGAGTAAAAGCTATGGCAGAACTTTGGGTATCTTGACTCTAAAAATGAAAAAGTTAGGTACTATGAAAAAGGTTGCTTAATTTTAAAACATTACTGTTGCAAAAAATGTCATCAAATGATCCCTCGCATCTGTCTCGTTAAGACAATCTGGATCATCCATTACAAGTTGTGTCATTAAATCCATTATTGTGGGAATTGTCCAATCGGAATTCAGTACCAATCGCTTAGCGGTTTCTGGAAGACGCCGTTGCTTAACCTAAAGAATTTTGTTGGATTAAAAACCTTTAAATTTATTATAAATTCTTACATGATCAATAACTTTATCTAAAATGTCCACCATCATTTGTTGTTCCTTATAAAAGCCTGTTAGTTTATATAAGTAGTTTGAATGTAGCCAAAATTTTAGGCATCTTTGTATAAATATGTAATAAAATCTACAAAGGTTCAAAGTTGTATTATATTTCTGCATGAAGTATGTATAGATATACCTTCGGATATATCCTGGAATTTTCGAGTAATCAATGGTTCCGTTAAGATCGTCTTTTTCTTCTATCAAAATATCTGCAAGTATTCAAAAATATAAACGCAATGAAATATTTATTTAGTAGTTTGTTACCTATTGATTCCTCAAACGCTGAATCATGAATATAATGAAGTACATCAAAGTAATCTTTTCCAATGTGTTTTTCCAATACATTCACCAACTTTTTGGCGTGTTTTTCAAATATAACACTATAGCCTTCTATGTATTTAGGCCCATAAAGAAACTGCAATAATTTTCTGTCATTTTTATGTTTTGTTCCTGAAAAAATATATGTCATGTTGCTGGTATATTTTTATGTAATAAATATTACCTCCTGAAGTAAATAATCCTTTACCCATGAACGGCTCCAGAAATTTGTAGACGAACGATTTTTGAGTAAATTTTGCCGATTGCATCGTTGTCTGTGTGAATTTAATGTTAAAAAATGGCATTTGGGAACAACAAAATAACAAACCTGTAACTGATCTGCATCTTTTATGAAAACGACCAGCCGGGGTCCTAACCAAAACCGCGAGGGTGAAGGGTAAGGACCTGATATTGCTAGGAACTTTTTCAATACATCTAGAAGGGAAAAATAATGTTCCACAAAGTTGTAGATGCAATGGGTAGAAAGCATAAAAAGTAGTATACTTATGCTTCAAGTATTTACAACATACTTGAAGGTAGCTTATACTACATTAACGAAGCATTTATTACCTACTCTCTACTCTCCGTAGTTAATGGTATATGATATGATACGGAGAATAGTAAATGCTTTGTGTAGTATAAACTTCGAGCATGTTGTAAATACTTGAAGCATTAGCATATACTACTTTATATGCATTCCTCCCAATGCAAATTTAGATCCTTGTTGAATTATTTCTTCCAAAAAGTTGATATACTAAGAACCAGAATTAAAGTGCGCCTCATACGCCAAAACCCACAATGAAAAATCAACCCCAAATAATAATTTTCTCATCATTCAGTATCTTGCAAACGAACAAGCGATCCAGCAGCACTTTCTCGAAAACTTTTGAGCCCCTCCCAAGGTGGTACCTTGTACTCATGTCACTTTTCATTTCTCAACTCCCATTTGAGAGAGGGTTCTTTTGAAGCAAAGTTTATTATGTTCTTGAGAAGCATTGTTGAGTACCTATTTTACACTTTTTTTTTCAACATCCTCTATTTCCTGATATCTATGCCTAATACTTAAGAACATTGACTCCAAACTTAATGACTAAATTTGCATGTGAACTGAAAACCAATACCATATTGTGCCAATTTATTAATTTAATCATATACATATTCATTTACCTACTCAATTAAAACTAATCGTTATTTCTCTGAAAAAGTTACTTAGGTAATTACTAATAATTTGAATTCGATCGTGCCTTGCCAATTTTGTTCGGCACTTGCCTTGCAAGTGTTTCATTGCAACGGAAAATCCCTCATTATAATATTAAAAAGTATAATAATATAGCTATTAGTTGGTCGTATATAATTTCATATTCTTTAGGTGAAAGTGCACATTGATTTTGGGCAAGAGCTTTGGGTGAATTAATTAATAAATGTTTAAGTTGACAAATCATTTAGTTTGTTCTGAAGGGATACGAGATTCTGACTTTTTTGTGTACATTGTACCTACACTTTGTTGTCTTATCAGCCTATCCTCACATTTCAACAGAAAAATACCTTGTTATGGAATATTTAAATTGAACTTACCTCTATAATCGCAAATGAAGGAAAGTCCATTTCCAAAAATAGGCCAAGGAAATGGTCCTGGTAGTTGGCATGAGGCAAAATAGAGATGCCTCCTTTTATAAAAAAACTTTAAACAAAAATATAAAGACAACACTAGCACGACAAGACAAAGTACCAAAAAAATCATGATTATTACCGCAAACCCTAATAAATGGCTATTTAATTTGGGACTTAATTATAAATGTAAGAAAATTTTCGCGCACTCCTACAGCCAGCCAAAACGACCGTGTTCAATGTAAAGCACAGTTTTGTCAAGAACTCGATTAGTAGGTACGGATATTGGTTACGGTTATTTTTTATAAAATTTAATGTTCACCTTTCGTCGGTGTATAAAGTTGGAGATTGGAGAAGTGGCCAGTAGCGCAACTACCAAGATTGAAAGCAAAAAACATCAAATGAATGTATGAAGAAACAATAAAGAACATAAAAATCCGGAGCATGATAATTAATTGCTGTTAATCCGGAGAAGTTTAGAGGAATCCTAAGGAGTTTGGGAAACTGAAAAGAAGTTTCGAGAAAAAGCAAAGGAAATCGAAGGAAGAGCTTGAAACATTTATCCTATTATAGAGGAAAGTTTCTATGCAAAATTTGGGAGTGGGTTTCTCCTGCTTCTTTGCCCCTCCATGCAAGCTAATAAGAAGCAATCCTTCCAAACACGAAATTTTTCCTCTATCTTTAAATTTGTAACAAATGTTTCTCCTTCATTTACTTCACAGCCAATTTTGAGGCAAAAATATCCAAATTTTCTGATCGATCCTAATTTTTCAGCGATCCTGATTAGACTCAATAAGTTTGAATTTTTGGAGTTGCTGGTCAATTGCTTCCCCAAGAATTTAAACTCAATCAGAGTCAAACAGTGCCCTTTTGCAAATAATAATTCTGATTGAATCTCATTGACGTTTCCCGTAATTTTTGAACTATCATGGCTCTGAGCTGTTGTGTAGGTACCTACTTGGCTAAATTTTTTTTGATGCATTGTTGCTTTCTGTAACATTTGCGACCATTTCTCATAATTTTATTATTAGGGTTGAAATTGTTGCTGTAAAAGTGCCATAATTATTCAACAAATATTGATAAAATTCAGTATTGTCCTTCGTATTGTCCCATTTCTAGATTGGACTGGTTTTAACTATATTGAAAAGTTTAAGACATTGCAGGCTCTATACAACTGAAATTCTGACAAACTTTTCTAGGTCTACATCTGGTAAATTTTTTGGTTCACAATCGCATTAAATCGAACCGAGAAAATAGACCAAGCTGGGTTCTTGCGAAAAGGTAAATGTTGTGTTCATTATTTCACCGGCGAAGGTCGCAAAAAAGGCGATTGTGACATGCCTACTTGGTATTTTAATGTTTCGTTTAGTTGTTTTTTTTTTATTGTTCCTGTTCAAAGGGAGTGGAAAAACTATGAACTAAATAAAAATAGTATATGCATGCAATGAGTAATAGATATCAATTTTATCAGTGCAATGGCGTGTATAATAGAATAATTCAATTAAAAACAATATTTATTAAAAAACAAAAAAATCGGTTTGTGAGTTTCGTTACCCAAAAGTAATTTCAATTTCTTCCCACCTTTTCACAGATGAACTTTTCACTAAAAATAATCATTGAACCAAAAAACAAAAACACATGAATGAAAAAATTTGAAAAATTACTATAATTAAAAACCACCTGGTTGATCAATTAAACTTTAGCGTCAATTTTTACTAGATACCAACTACCATCAATGTAAATTTATTTATAGTTCGTGAATGTTCTAAAGTTCAGTAGTTTTGTTAGTTAAACGTACCATTCCATTCGTCTGTTGAAAGAAAAGCAAAATAATTGGCAAAAAAACAATTAAATATCATTTCAAGATGAGCTACATAATGTATTGTGTGGAAATTTTAATTATACTAGCAATATTATCATTGAGACTAATAAGAAGCAAAAAATCTACATCCGATTTAGCTGATAAGTTGCCAGGTCCAAAAACTTATCCAATTTTCGGAAATGCTTTGATGTTTTGGTGCAAAGACGAAGGTATTCTGTCGATGATTGGAGAAATAAACAATTATCACTATTTTTGATTTTAGATATTTTTCAAAAAATTACCGATTGTATAGAAAAATATGCTAGTCCCATGAGATTTTGGAATGGAACTAAGTTATACATTATTTTCAGCAAAGCAAATCAAGTAGAGGTAAGTTACATATCAATAAACTGAAATATTTTTCATGTGATTAATTTTTTTTCAAGAAAATATTTGCTTCTACTGCGTTTTCCACAAAAGATGATATTTATAAATTTATCAAATATTATAATGGAGAAGGCCTAATTTCTGGTTCAGGTAAAATCCGTTTTTAGATAATCAGGCCTATGATGTATCCATTTCTTGTTATTTTAACAGTTATGTTATAGCTCAATAGCTACCTATACTTCTCTCTATTTTGACGTATAGAATAAACAGTGACAGGTAACTTAACGTTGCTGTTAAAATAACAGAAAATATACATCATGCCTGAATGTTTATTCCAATAAGAGGAACTTTTAGGTCCAAAATGGAAAAAAGATAGACGATTAATGTCTCCGCTATTTCTGAAAAGAAACATTTTGCAATACTTCCCCGTGATTCTAAAGCACACTAAAATTTTGGTTAATATTCTCGAAGAGAAAATTAATTTGCCGACATTTGACATTGAATTTTATATTTGTAAAGCTGGCACTGATTTTGTGAATGGTATATTTGATTGATAACTATCATAGCCAATCAGAAATCTGAGCCTAAACTTTATTTTCTAGAATCTTTATTGGGTCTCAAATCAAATAACCAAGGAGGAAAAAATGATGAGTTTTTAATACAAATACGCAGGTATTGGGCGGTTACACACGGACGTGGATGTCTTAATACATATACGTGCATACATCAACGTGCAAACAACAACGTGCATGGCGCTTTTGTACAGACGCTCGCACAAAACTGCAGTCTTGCTATTCTTGCTACAGTGTTTCGAGTGTGCATACAAAATTGCACATTCAAAAACGCGACGATATTTTGCATACACATTAAGGCGGTTACACACGGACGTGGATGTCTGAAAACATGTACGCACATACATGAACGCGCAAACAAAAACATCAATGTGTATGCAAAATATCGTCGCGTTTTTGAATGTGCAATTTTGTATGCACACTCGGAATACTGTAGCAAGAATAGCAAGACTGCAGTTTTGTGCGAGCGTCTGTACAAAGGCGCCATGCACGTTGTTGTTTGCACGTTGATGTATGCACGTATATGTATCAAGTCATCCACGTCCGTGTGTAACCGCCCTAACAGCAATTTTTTTAAATTAATTATTCTGCCTGTACATTTATTTTATTTTAGAGCCTACGAATTAATCCATAAAAGAATTATCAAGCCTTGGCTTCAAATAGACTCTTTGTATGGATACTCTTACAGTTATCTGAAGCAAAAGGAAGCACAGGATGTGATACATGGTTTTTTTTATAAGGTAGCAAAATTTTAGGGTAAATATTTTCAAGCGACTTGTCTTTGTAGGTTTTGATTGAAACCAAAAAGAGCCACAGGCATTTGGGACAAAAAGACATTAGCTTTCGTACTATTTTAGAACAACTGTTGGACATTAGAGATGAAATTGCCGATTTTGCTACAGACGAGGAAATTATTCACCATCTAGTTACGTTATATTCGGCTGTAAGAAGAAATCACAAAATTGTTTTATGCTATAAATAATTTGTTTTTTAGAGTGAACACACTGTAACAAATACATGCTCTTTTACCTTGGTACTTTTGGGAATGTATCCAGACTATCAGCAAAAAGTTGCAGAGGAAATTCGAAACGTTGTCGGATTTACAGATGATATTCAAGAACAACATCTAGATAAATTGGATTATCTAGAAATGGTCATCAAAGAAGTTTTAAGATTATTTCCGATTGTGCCTTTTATTGTCAGACAAGCTAATCAAGAGACAGAGTTGGGTAAGTAGGTACCTGATATATTTGTTGATAATTCTCATGTCGAATTACATTTTCAGACAAGTTGAGTATTCCTAATGTTAGTTCTGTTATGGTATCCATATACAACATCCATAGAGATCCATCTCAATGGGAAAAACCTAATAACTTTTACCCTGAACATTTTTTACCTCAGGCAATCAAAAACAGACACCCTTACGCTTATGTGCCTTTCAGTGCTGGATTACGAGGTTGCATTGGTAAATATTTACATCTAAATTACCCCTAAAAAGATCTAACTTTTATTAATTTCTTTAAGGTAAACCATTCGCTTATATGGCCATAAAAATATTGCTCGTTTCCGTTCTTCAAAAATACATTATTGAAGCTGATGGTAACCTTCAGGAGAGAAAATTAACAGCCGATTTTAGTGTGAAGTTTAAAGATAAAATATTTCCTCTTAGAATTAAAAATAGAGTTTAAAATATATATATGTTATATACCTATAATTGATGATTATCTTTTTAAATTAATCAGCAGCTGGTTCTAATATCATAATGGCATCAGGGCTGGGACTCTGTAACAAATAGAGATATTTTCTCTATATCTATTGACACTCTCTATTGATTTTAACAAGAAAGAAGGAGACAGCAAGTGACATAGCTATAGGGATAACGACCTCTATTCGTTACAGAGTCCCAGCCCAGGTGTCATATTATGGTCCGATATAGATTCCGGCATAGCATAAAAACCTGAGAGTACCTAGGTACTTTTAATCTTGGATTAACCACCAGAGTTTTTGGATCAATCGCCATAAAGTTTTGTTGATGTTGGATGGGAAGACTTCTTAAGAAGTTGACCAATGCCTGAGCCAACAAATCCACCAGTCATGAGAATACTTTGTATCTCCCAGTCAGTAAAGACTGTCCAGGATAATCACCAAAGTGTTTAAAAGGCTCATTTTTATTTAAATTGAAAAATATGCGAACCAACTCCACTAAAGATTAATCTTTTGTACTGTTGGATTTTATAGTAATACGTTTTTTATACCAATCTAAAGGCGATTTTTACTGCACAAATCTTATCAAATACATAAATTTTATTGACTACATTTTGGACCAATAAGTCGTATAAATATTAAGTAGGTATGTAAAGTTATTTGTTTTTATCACGGAAACGGAGTAAACTTTTCAAAAAGCTACGTGTTTTGAATTAATTTGATAATTCAAGAAAAAACTATATAGGAATATTGCCAAGGCTGGAAGACGTTTTATTAGTTTTCTGGTTCAATTTCCACTTGCAATGAACAAGCTCACATTTATAAGAATTTTCCTAGCTGGTTGCATTTTCAGCGTATCATATTCAAAGAACATTTCTACTGCAGGTAAGAATTTATTTTTCTTAATATACATATAGAGTGTTTTTTCTAATACTTATGGCAAATTTCCTTCGATGTAGATCTAAATACAGATGAAATTCTTTTACCACAAGAACAAGATTTGGTTAATAATGCAACTGACCAGTAAGTAAAGTTGCAATAATAATTCATATGAGTATTTTATATTGTATATGTTTTTTAGAGAAAGTGTACTTAGGGAGGAAAGAGCACCTCAGGGCCTAAACGAAGTTGTTGGAGGTATAGGTGGAATTATAAACGTAACATCTTCTTTAGCCAACACCTTCAACGTAACCAGACAAGTATTCGCGAGACTCAGAAATTTGACTCAAGGAATTTGCATCGAATGTAGAAATAATAATTCGCCTAGCACACCTCCTCCAACTGATTTTTACTACAATAACAATAATTATTATTACGATTATTACGATTATGGCACATCTGATTATAGCAGGAAAAAAAGGGATGTGACTACTCAGTAGGTTATAAGTTTTTGTTTGATGGGATAAAAATATGTTTATTGCAATTTTTTTTTTTAGGGAAAGTGCTGGCAATGAGATCTTGGATAGGCAAAAAAGGTTAGTGTTAGTTCCATCTCTGGTGGAGAATTTTATAAAACAAGAAATAATCAAACTATTGCGAAATGTCGGTAATGATGTAAAACTCCAGATCAGTTTGATATTTGAACGAGCAAAATCTTTGGTCAAGAATTTCTTTGGCTACATTGGCTCTCTATTTGGGACAATGAGAGAAAAACGGTCTTTGAATGTTTTGTGAGTACTTACCTATAGCTTGTATATCGGTTTTGGCCTTTTCCTTTGCTTTCATTCATCATGTGTCATTTTCTTGCACAACATTCAGAAGGCCGACTCATAATAATCAAAATTACGAAATACTTAGGGAATTTGGCTCCGTGTGCCTGGTATCACTCTGGTATAATCAAATCGCATAATGGTTTCTATAGCTACATATTGGTAAAATCTTCCAACAAACGGGTTATTTCTCAAATATGAAATCAATTTTACCAATCCACGGACATACTGTAGGAAAATTGATATGCTAAAATCCGGGGAATACCTACAACATCAAAATTCGTTTATACAAGTGACTACCAGCATTTGAGTTTTGTTTTAGTAATGAAGAAGGTTCGGTAGAGGTGGAAAATTTCAATACCGAAAATTTAGAGCGTCTTTACAACGCCCTCATAACGACGTATTTTCGTGTAAACAAAGTTAACGAAGCCACAGTCCCGGAGACTGAAATAAACGAAATAATCGATTTAATTGAAACCATATTTATTATATTGGTGGATTTTATTGAAGGAGAAGAGATGTAAGTATGTATTAGATTTTCTTCCGGCGTATATGTAATTGTTTACAAAAAATTCTAGACTATTTTCGCCAGAAGGTAAAACATATCCTTTTCATTTACCGGAGGTCTACGACTATGCTGATTACGAAAGCGCTGAAACGTTTAATAAACGAATTGATGATTTAGAGTTGGCCATGTAAGAATTCATAGAATTTTTGTTCTAATTTCGCTTTTTCTTTTTACTAACACTGCTAATGATTTATTAATTATAATAATTACAACAAATATCTAAAATATTTTAGCCCAAAACAAATTGTAAAGAGGCAAGCTGCAACAAATGTAGATGAAGGATTAAATACAAATACAGAAAAAGTGATATTAGTTGATACTTTTTCGCAAATGGTGGAATCACTATGGACATTTATTAATTTTTTTTATGATATTATTCAAAATCTTGTAAGACAAAAACGGGATACAACTAGCTCACTGGATTATTTGTTTAACTTCCTGGATAGTCTTGGAATAAAAAAACGGAGCGCCGAATTATTTTTATCGAATATTGATCACTTATCGACCAGGTAAATTGAACGGTTATTGAAAATTCAGTATAATTTTCCTCTAATTTTAGCAATTCAAGGAAAAAACGCTTTATATTGGATTTAGGTGAATCGTACATTAACAGTGCAATCGATTTTTTGAAAAAAATTGCCTTAGATAAATTTGAAGAATTTTTAGATTTAGTTCGTAACTATTTAGCTGATGCTAATCTTGGAAATTTAACGGGATTGTTGAAATTCAAAAGAAGTCTACCATCGTCTGGGTGAGTGTGGATTGGTTTATGCAGTTTTGTTTTTTGATAAATAATTCAACTGGCTTCCAAAATCCTGTTCATATAGCATCATTGAAGCTGTGGAGAGGTTGGATAAACTGGGTTACCTACTTAGCATACTTTGTTGTAAAAGCAGTTTTACCAAAGAGAAGGAGAAGCAACTATATCTACCTATATGTTTTATCTCTCAAAATTTATTAAAATTCAAATTTTATTACAAATAAACTTCTTCCAGGGAAAACTCCAGATTAAAAAGAGACATTTCGGACAATCCATCTGAAGAAGAGGAAGGTACAAATGAATTTGGTTCATCTGAAGAAGAGGGAGATACAAATAAATTTGGGTAATAACATAATTTTTTTTTTTTTGGTAGAAATTTTTCCAAATCCCTTTCTTATCATTTAGCTGTTATATATTGTCGACGCTCCAGGAACTGTTTTCATCCAGTCAAATTGGCATTCAAAATGACTTCAGAAAAATACTTGCCTTAGTAGGCTGTGATGGAAAAGCAGATGCCCAAATGAAAAAGAAGAGGAGTGCTAGCAGCTTTGGGTAGGGTAACAGATAATTTTTGGGCTAGTTTGTTTGAAAAATATTTAATATATTCAGGGCACTTTTCTCGGAATTCCCACGACAACTTTCCGATGTAGCTCAATACATTAAAGGAACGATTCCTGGAACTGAAGGAAATATAAGATCGGGTCTTGATGTAGTACATGGTTTTTTGGACACTACTGTTGCAGATTTGAGGAAAAAACGAGATGCAGGGTACCTACCTACTGAAAAAAATCACAAAAACTAGTTATTTTTTTTTTGATTTTTTAGCGATGAAACTTTGCAAGATATTTTACCAACAAGCGAACAACTTGACGATTTTTTTAAACAACTGGAAGCCAGAATTGCTGTCAATTTCAGGGCAATTGAAGCCACTCTAGAACAACTGCGTACTGATGCATCACTGTTGAATATTGCTCCAGTAAATACTAATAACCCTCCTCTTGAGTAGAAGTGGAAGCTACTAATTTTATGTAACTCAAATTTTTATTATAATAATGGATTGATTCATATATACATTTAATATTTTTCTAATGTATTCTTGTAGAAATCTATTTAAATTAAAAAGAGTTACTAGTAAAAGTGATGTTTTTTGTTTGCTTACCTCATACCAGAAGACCAAAAATACAGCTTATTTCAATCTCAAGATAGCGCCAAAATGGGAAGTTCATAGATAAATATGTTGCATTAAGTGTATACTTGTTTTTAGCCAAGGGTCTCGAACAGTTTGTTACAGCATAAAGACGAATCTTGAGACACACTGTTAATTACTTACTATTTTGAAATGTGGTACCCATTTGATAAAAAACTCACATGGTTCATAATTCCAAAAAAAATTAAACCGAAAATTGGTACCTATAGTTCTCTGTAATCTGTTGTCGTAAAGATATTAGTTTTCTTTAAATTATTCCCCTGGAAACTTGTGAAAAACGAGATAGGGCCTTAAATCATGAGACGGACGATATTTGTTGTATATGCAAAAGAATATTACCTATTTAGTGTAGTCAAGTTATCGGAATTTAGGTCCAACTTCTGAAAAAATTATATAGAAATGTTTACGAGTTGGAACATACAGATAATATGGCCCTAGATGACATACTAAAAGTCCCGTAGATTCTGACAATGGCAAGTTGCAAAAAAGTGGCCGCCAATAGCTTTGTTTGTTTATTTGCACCAATATGGCACTTTCTACTCCAAATCTATTTTAATCCCTATTTTTTTGTTAGTCTGACAGAAACAGACTGATTTTTTGCTGCACCTGGTACAGCTTGGTGTAACTTTGGTGCAAATAAACAAACAAACCCATTATGATCGTCTCGACCGGCTGCTGCGGTTTATTAGAGCAGGAAGATCAGACAACTTTACAATTACTGTTTAAAATTGATGATTCCAATATTTTACGCAACACCTTTATCTACAACAGATTCAGAAACTTCATATGAGTCCTGAAAACTATGAAAAATTTGTTGATGAAGGAATGTTCACTTGTAAGAAGAACCAACAACTTTTGGTCCGGTACTTGGACCGACATAGTGATCGAGCAGAATTTGATGAGGTCAATCAAAACAACTGGTGGCCTAACTTATAGACGCGGATTTACTAATTCGTCTTTGGCAAGATGGATTGCTGATATGTCAGTTTGTACAAAAGCTTTTGGAATGTAAGTCTGTGACTTCAGAACAGCATATAGAATTGAGTCGCTCACGCCAGCAACGTGACAAAACTGATTCGCGAAAAATTCAAGATTGGCTAAAATACAATCCTTATAAATGCAAGGAGTTAGGAGTTCATGTCAGTTATCTCTGGACGAATAGCTAAATCCGATATAAACTGCGATTTAGCAAATAAAATTGGAAGAACAGTACTAACAAAAAATATAGGCAAAGTATTCACAGATTAAATGCAAGCGAACGGATCAACTCCTTTTCACAAATGAGCAACATTATTAAAATTAATCAGAATTATGTTAAGGTGTCCCGTATACAATTATTTAATAGCACTGGCGTAACTAGCCATCTGACCTGGGGGGCCTAGGGTGGGCCTAGGCTGGGCCTGGCAGAGGCGCCGATTTTTGAAAGTCCTCATGGGTGCAGGATAATATTTTTATTTTGTTTATAGGGCGAGGGGGAAGCTCGCCGCAGGCGCTGGCGAAGACGAAATTTTTTCATAGTGTATACCGGTCTGGCAATTGAACATCTCACATGCCAATTTAAATGCAATAGAATGAAACGTCTAGAAAAGTCTAAAGTTGAATAGAGAACGGAAACGATTTCCCTTGTTCCACCTCCAGCGTTCCAAGCGCTGCATGCTGGAAGTGGAACACGGGAAATCGTTTTCGTTCTCTATTCAACCTTGGACTCTTCCTATACATTTCATTCTATTGCATTAAAATTGGCCTGTAAGATGTTGGCTTGCCAGACCTGTATATTTTTCTATTTTTCTCTATGAGCGTGCGAAAAGTGCTTCTTTCTGCACGCATTTCAGGCCAGAAAAAAATCACTTCTTCGCACTAGTATACGGAAAAGTAGAATAATTATGCAATTTAAGGTTACCCTGGTACTTTTATGTCCTAAAATGCCTCATGTCCCGATTATTATCAAAGAATAGAGATGGAGATGGAGAATAGCAACATTAGCAATATAAAGTAATAGAGCATAGAACTAACCACAAATAACAAAATGACAGAATACTAATACCTTCCTAATCTAAGACTAATACCACTTGTATATTTCTTATAAAAAGTTGTGTAAATTTGAATTACATGATACCCACGAGAGCTCCGAGCACCCATGAGAGGTTGCTTATGGGAGCACCTGCCCCAATGCCCCCATTTACTCGGCGCCAGTGGCCTGGGGCCTGTTATTGTAACTTATTGGAATCTTTGAAAAAGTTGAACAGTGCATTTACTCAGGTACCTATGCACCGCAAGCTAATTTCGAGGATTAGTTATGAAAACGATTAGATATAGTAATTTTAAGATACAAGAGAGGATGGGATATATGTTAGATCCGTTATTCTATGGATGGGAACGAGATAGAGATGAACATCTTGCGCCTACATCCGTAACAAAAGAAATTGCCCCCTCTGATATACTAAAAAGGGTATTCTGTAATTGCAAGAAAGGGACATGCAACAAGGCATGTTCCTGCAGAAAACTTGGATTAAAATGTTCTGCAAAATAAGTCAATGCTCAGGAATGATTTGCTGGAATTCGTGCATCGTATATGAAAATGATGATGATATTACTTATAATTGAACGTAGTAGGTACCTATTCTTTTGTGAAACTGGAAAAAGTCAGTAATTATTTAAATACATGTTGCTGATACATCCCAACAAATGTAAATTTGCATTTTAAGTAAAAAATATCCCTACACTTTTCCTCATAAACCTGATAGTTTTTGAGATATTTGCAATAAAATGTAAAAAACAAAATGGCGGCCGTTTTTTTCAACTTGCCAGAGACATAATCCATGGGACTTTTAGTATGTTGTTTAGAACGTTACTCCTCGTACATTTTTGTTAAGAAATGCTTGTATAGAATTTTTTCAGGTTCAACATCTAACTTGCCTACACTAATTCTTTTGTATGGGAAAATTAATGTGATCACTTTTGCAACCTGCGTCTGCTAGGGTCACGTACACCTAGAATCTTGAAAATATTTCAATTCTTTCGAGAATTCAGTAGGTACCTACTTAACGTACCTTACCTCTTTGCCTTGATTCCTTTCCCAAAAACTGATTTGACATTTGCATGCGTAATTCAGTAAGTAGGTAATAAATACCAGACTGCGGAATTTGGAACAATAAACTTGAGACATTGAGTAAACACCTAATTGTTCATAGAAAATGAGTAGTACTATATTGACTGTATAGAAGTGGCTTATTTTCATTCTAATGACAACAGCAGCATCTATTTGCTCTTTTCTTTTGAGACTAATGTAAGTACCTAGATATAGGTTATTGATCACTTCAACATTTGTCGCTTTTAGGTCTGTCCGCACAGAAATCACAAACCAGTCAGAGTGAATTTCATTGGTTGAAACTAGTTTTCTGATTGTTTTCAACTCATGAAACTCGCTCGTTATTGTACTACGATTACCTCTTTTTGGTAAAGTTTATAGGTAGGTACTGACAAAGTTTTAGATTTTTAAATAATTCTATCCTTAACCTTATCAAAAATATAAATAAATCCCATTACCGAAACTAGGTACTAGGTACTTTACCTATATTCAATATTCATGAACTAATAAAACCAGATTTAGGTAGGTAATAGATATTTAAATTTTTTTGTTTTCCTCACGAACACTGGCTCTAAAACTAAGGTGTAACATGAATAATTAACTGGGTTTTCCGCAAAAAGAATACATAAAAATGGCACTTGCCTGGAAAACGCTTGTGTAGTCCATTATTCACTGTCCAGTCATGGCCAAGCTGCTATTGGTACTTTTTCTAGCTGGTTGCATTTTGAATATATCCTATTCACGTTTAATACCTCAACGTTCTGATTTAGGTAAGAATATAATTGTACCTATAGGAGGTATATTATGTATGATTTTCCAAAGAAAAAGCCTTATAGTCTGGTGGCTGATGGGCTAAGATCAATTTCTTATTTTAATATATTTTGCTTCTCTACGAAATAAGTTGTTAGGTACTTACTTATAAACAGTGGCTTTTTCGTCCCAATAGCAAAATTTTTATTTTTTTCAGTAGAACCTCTGGATGCAGATTATGGTACAAAATCAGAAGTTGTTTCAGAATTAAACCCAGAAGACGATTCCAATAGTTTAACAGAGGTTTTTAAGGAGTACGTATAGTTTCGAATACCTATATATCAAATAAAACCGAAGTTGTGAGGCTTTTGACTCTACAAATCATGCCTAATAATTCAATGTATTTTTATAAATAATTTATCTGCTATAATCAATGAAACTGATAAATATTTTAGATCGAAAAAAGTTGGCAAGAGGCAAGCCGGAAATGAAAACGCAACACCCTCAAATAAAGCAGAAGCAGATGCAACAGAAGCATCCACAGGTTCAGAAGGACAAGAAACAACCGAAGCATCAGAAGGACAAGTAACAACCTTAGGACCTACAGAACCATCAACCCCAGAAGCAACCGTAGGATCTACAGAATCATCAACCCCAGAAAAAACAGTAGCAACCGTGGAATCTACAGAACCATCAACCCCAGAAAAAACAGTAGCAACCGTAGAATCTACAGAACCATCAACCCCAGAGAATCCAGTAGCAACCGTAGCACCTACAGAACCACCAACCCCAGAAAAAACAGTAGCAACCGTAGGACCTACTACAAAACCATCAACACCAAAAAAAACAAAAGTGACTGTAGGATCTACTACAAAACCATCAAAACCAAAAAAACCAAAAGTAACCGTAGGATCTACTACAAAACCATCAACACCAAAAAAACCAAAAGTAACCGTAGGATCTGCTACAAAACCATCAGCCCCAACAGAAGGACCATTGCCCTCAAGTACCACGATGGCGCCAGGATCAGACTTTCAATTGAGCGTAGAAACTATAATAAACACTATCGATAATGTAGCTGAAATTGTGAAGCAATTCGGAGAGTTCAATGAATTAATTTTTGGAATTTTTGAAACTATTCAAGCTATTGGAGGAACCAGCCGAGCAGCGCTGGACGTAGAGGAGGATTCATCCGAAGAGGAATTTGCATTTTATTTTTATTAGATGAAATTCTTGATATGGGATAGTTATTATTTATCTTTAACAATATAACTATATGCTAGATCAAAACTTCGTAATTTTGAATAATCAAAATAAATTTGATTGAACTAATTTTTGTTGTTTTTCTTGGGAAAGGCTCTATCAAGGTATAGTTGAGTATAAATTACTCATCTAATTTTGCAGAATTATCAATAAGTTTTGATAATAGTAGAGATGTAAAGAATGTTTCTCTGAATTTCACCAGTATTGTAAACTTCCAATTTTGGAGAATCCCCAGTAAAAAGAAGAGGAATAATAACTTATGTCTTCTGGAACTTCATCTTTTAGCTTTAGGAGGCATTGGACGTAAAATTGCCCAGAAACTTTCTCGTTTTTTCCCTTCACCTTCTCTACCGGGCAATTTGAAAAAGTCAACTTCCAATTTTAGGGAATCCCAGTAAAAAGGTGGAAATTCTTCTAGCTTAAAGGAGGCGTTGGACGTAAAACTGCCAAGAGACCTTCCCAGTTTCTTCTGGCCTTTTCTACCGGATAGGACATTTTGCTTTTTGAAAATTGGCAAAAAGTCAAATTAAAATTTTGGGGAATTCCGAGGAAGAAGAAGTTGTGGGTCTTCTTCTGGAACTTCTTCTAGTTTTAGGAAGCGTTGTACGTAAAATTGCCAAGAGACCTTTCCGGTTTCTTCTGGCCTTTTTAACCGGATATGGCATTTCGCTTTTTCGAAGTTCGGAAAAAGTCAAGTGGGTCTTCTTCCGAAACTTTTTCTAGCTTTAGGAAGCGTTGGACATGAAAACAGAAAACTGAACCAGAGGATTTCGCTAATAAATGCGCGCAGCGCAAGGCTAAAAGTCGCATTTGATCCAAGTTTGGAACAAAATATCAAATAGGAAACTAGAAAAAAATGACATAGAAACTTTGCATGAAAACTGTAGAAGTAACTCAGAAACGAGACGATAATCAGATACACGATGGAATTGCATACACAAAAATGATGAAAACGATGTAGTCAGCTTTGTGAGAAAATGCCAGCTCAAAAAGAATAGCCAGACGATGACTACAATCATGAGATTGCACTCTTCCAGGAGCAGCTTATAATCAGAAAACTAAAAAGTTTTGGAGCTGAAAATGATTAAACAAGCTAAGGAAAACGTGTTGGTTCTAATTTACCATCACCGACTTTATTAGGAATATGTACAGGGTTTTAAGTTATAAAGTCCCACATACCCCCGTAACTTTTTCATTTTTGATCGTACCTACATAAAAAAAAGTTACAAGGGGTGGTACTTTATAACTTGACACCCCGATATCTATCTGAGAAAAATTATCGCGCAAAATCTTCCCAGTAGAGTATATTGCAAGATGCCAGAGAATCATTTGTACCATTATATGGTTTAACACCATCGACACAACAATATTACCTTACGACAATAATTAAAAACTATAATAAAACCAAAAGTTGTTTTGTTTTTCTCACGAATACTCGGTTTAAAATTCTTAACGTGATATGAATTAATTTTATTACCGTAATAAGTATAAATCACAAATGGTACCTGGATGGAAAATAGTTCAAGATTCAGCTCCAACCATGGCCAAGTCGCTTCTACTGGTACTTTTTCTAGCTGGTTGCATTTCGAATATGTGCAATTCATTGTTAATACCACATACTTTTGATCCAGGTAAGAATTATCCATTGGAACAACATGAGTTGAGTACCTACTTAGTACTTGATGCACTTTTTTGAAAGCTTTGACAAATTGTATAAGTACCTATTTGTGTTCCAGAAAATGACAGAAATCTTAAACTAGTCCAAGAATACGATGCAGATAGTGTAACAGAATTGTATGATGAGTAAGTATAGTTAAAAATGTCTACTAATAATGGAACAATAAAAATCAGTGTTTATTCCAGAGGAAAAAAACGTGCAAAAAGGGCTGACATTGCAAACGTAACACCTTCAGAACTACCAGTATCTGAAGGATCAGTACCAACAGCTTCGTCAGTAAATACAGAATCATCAGGATCAGAAGCAAAAAGGGCTGATATTGCAGACGTAACACCTTCAGGACTACCAGTATCTGGAGGATCAGTACCAACAGTTTCGTCAGTAAATACAGAATCATCAGGATCAGAAGGATCTACAGTAACACTTTCAGGACTACCAGTATCTGGAGGATCAGTACCAACAGTTCCATCAGTAAATACAGAATCATCAGGATCAGAAGGATCTACAGAATCTGCATTAGCACCAGGAGAGTTACTGCCCTCAAATTCCACAATGGTTCAAGTTGATGAGCCATTATTTGAAAGTGAATTCATTTCTGCCATTTTTGAAATTTTCGTGGATTTACTTTCTGATATTGAGACAAGAGAGAAACGCGATTTATTTTTCAAGAATCCATTGGATGCTATTTTCAACTTATTTGGAAAGCTAGATGGAGAAAGTAGACCGAAAAATGATGCTGATGAATTCGTGCTTGAAAATGAACAAGAAAGGTGAGATTTCGATATGCGATTGGTCTAGATTGTATTCAAATAAAATACCATTTTCTGAGCAGTTTTTCCCATGTAATTTTTTTTTTAATGTTAAATCCTAATTCATTTTTCCAATAATATAAATAATGAACTCTAGTGATGAAGATGAAGTTGCCTTTGATAGAGCAGCAGCACTCGAAGAACCAGCAACACCACGGAAGCCATTAGAATCCAATTCTCGAACATCAATTCAAGTATTTGATAGTAATATAATAAAAATAATCGACAATGTATCCAACATTATGGATAAATTGAGTAACTTTAATAATTTACTCTATGGAAATAATCAATCTACTCGAAGAAATCCAAAACTAACCGACTCTAGTGAGACTACAAGAGGAAAACGAGGCATACTTTTCAATGCTCTTGATTCTGTCCTTGGGAATGTTGGAAAAAAAATTGTTGAAGAAGGAAATCCTTTATTAACGCAATTGAAAACTATATTACCATTACCAGACATACTGCCGAAGATTCCTGACATAGCAAAATTGGTTGAAGAAGGAAATCCTTTATCAACGCAATTGAAAACTATAGTACCATTACCAGACATACTGCCGAAGATTCCTGGCATAGCTACAGCAGCTAGAGTTAATGATGATGATCTTTCAGAAGAAAAGTAAGACCTATACTATACGATTGTTTTCAATTTAGTTCTACTGTTATTAAAGATAAACATTCAGAATAATCTTCATTTAATGTCTTTTTCAAAATAGTATTTAATTTCAAATATCTAGGGAATCATCCAAAATGAGAGGAGGAATAATTTCTAGCATCCGTCACACTATTTCTGATTTTGTCCAAAATTTAATAACTGTTATTTATGCGGTATATGGCACAGTTAAAACTGCTTTGCAAGCAATACTCTTACCATCATCGAGAAGGAAAAGAACCGTTAACGCGTTTGGGTAATAAATGTTTTGCTTATATTTTTGCGAGTTTCTAGAAAATTTTATTGCATTTAGAGAATTATTCACAGGGCTCAGAAGACCATTTAACGGCTCACCAAATGTTACCGGAATTGAAGAATATTTCAGGAGATTAGAAGACAGAATAAGTGATAGCTTTAAAGCATTTGAAGATTCTTTCCCCTAATACCTGGATGATAGATTCAGAGTGAAACAGCAAAGATAAATGTATTCAAGAAATTTTTATTTATTTCAAATAAACTAAGATATCAATTTTTATTTGTTTAATTTAATAGAATTTCAGGGGCACCTGGAACAAAATGTTCTTATTACCAACTAAAATAGTTTCGATTATTTACTTACTTAATCAGCTTTTAATAAGAGCTGGAGCAAGTGTGGTCCTAAGCTGGAATTTTTCAAATTATTTATGAACAAAGGTATGAGTGTTGCTAAACATTTGAAAAATATTTTTTGTAATGTTTCTATTACAGCAACCCATACATCAGAGAGGTTTCCTGAAATTCCTCTCATCAATGGTGATATTATTGAATAATTATTATCGTCATCGAAGACTTCAGCAGATTCATCTGTAAGAAATCAAAGCTATAAATAGGAAAGTATACCTAACTTAAAAAGGCATACCTTTTAATGCCGATACACATAAGAATACTGTACAAAAAAGTAGGAATTGAGTGGCAATCATTATTGCAGGAAATTACCAACGATGATTAAAGAAAATCAAAAAATGTTTTTATTTAAATAGGCGTTGATAAGGCAAAATAACTCACATTTAGTTGAAGATTTTGGAAAGCATATTGCGGCACGTAAAAAGTGAAAAAATAATCTACAGGATGCTGTTGAAATTCTCAATTTACTGCAATACCAAAATTATCATCCCTACTAAATTCAAACATCCCCTTTATATTATAATTGCCAAAACGGGCTTCCTTCCGTTGGCTGCGGCCAATCCCGCCCTTACGTTTTAAAGGGCCCGCCTTCGGCCCACAATTATTCTCGGTAGGTCTTGAAAATTACTCACCACCGCGATTTATAAGTTATTCTGCGGTGGTGAAATTGGTTTGTGTATGGTTATACCAGTGACTGTGGATAGAGTGATAGTGATTCAGTTATTTGGTGTTGGAATTTTTTAGATAAAGGGTAAGAAGGTTATTTTGAGAAATATTTGTTTGCTTGTGACTTTATTAAAGCCATTTAGTTATTAAAAAAGCAAATAACTTAAGAAAAATATCGTGCTCGATGCCTATCCACTATTTTCTGAAAAAATCAGTATACCTTCCTTCCCAGAGGATAAATTTCTGAGCAATCAAAAGGTGAGTTAACGGTAAGAACCCTGATAATATGGTGATATCACTAGATGGGATTTCATAAGTGATCACTTAGTTTGAATATGCACCAGGTCCATTTGCCCAAGTTTTCTTTTCAATTGGAGCCACCCTGTATCTTTCTTTAACGTCTCCAAAATTTTCCATGCAACTATTTTAACGTTTTTTTCACTAAATCTACCTCATAATCATGGCAACCTTGAAATTTTATAATCAGGTCATAAAATGTTTGAAATAAAAATAAATGTCCGAACATTAACGCATTCTAAATTACCCTATACATGTTAATATTGTAATATGTATATGAATAATTATTTTTTCTTCTGTCTGTTTCTTGGGTAGGTAGGTATTCAATGAAAAGGCAATCATTAGAGATTTCCTGACGTTTCCAATAGATTCTTTAATGATTTCTGGTCGATATTCCGGCGAAGTTAGAGCAATATGCGCGAACTCAACTTATGAGAAATAAAAATGCAAAATCATAACTGCAACTTGGCTCAGAACCTTAAAAAACCAATAAATCTGTATAAATTCAATAAACCTTTTATCATAATAAAAGTAGCAGATTCATGAATGGTATTTTTCCTATACAGCACAAAATGATAACGAGTCTGAACTGTCCAAATAACTCAACGATGACCAAGCAAAGAACCAGCCCGTCTAGCCCTAGGGAGTTTTTTCAAAAACTTTACGGCCACCTCGAACCTGAAAATAATCCAAAAAATATCATATCGGGTAAGTCTCCTAACATTTCCTCCAGATCCTTTTTGAAAAAATTGTTTTTGCTTTCCATCAGATGATGTTCCACCTTTCTCCGACATGGAAAAAACGCTCCATGCAAAAGTATCATCGTCAAACTCTAGAAGATCTGCAGATGAACTGGTCGTACCTGTTCCGATATTAGCTACACCGATACCGTTTCTGTTACCTACGGAATCTCATTTAGTTGCCGCAGCAGCAGGATTATCCGCATTTCGTAAGTATAGAACATTATTTGATTGAATTCAAGAAAATCCTCAGTATCTCTAGCAAATCGATTCTTCACTATTTTCAGTTGAATTTAATGATTTTTAAGCCTTTATCTTAAAACTGTTGCCTATTTGCAAAAGTTTGAAATTCAAATTACTTATCTTGAAGTTAGATTAGGTAGGTAGCTACTACTAAACTAGAGGGTTGTGACAATGGGAAAATCAATGATCGGGAAAATTACCTCCTAAAGTTTGCATATAAACTGTCTCTTATTATTTGATCAATATCATATTTCCTGTACTTCCTTGGAACTTCTTCTAATTTCCTTAACAACTACCCACACTTCGTCGGATTTGTCCATCAGCATAATTTGAACTTCCTCGGATTTTCATAAATTTCTTCCATTTTCATATAATTATTTTTCTTATTAACGCGTCATTTCCATTTAAATTATCACTGGAACAAAGATTCTGGAATTGAAACCTGATTCCAAATATACTAGGTTTTTTAGGTTTATTCCTTATAGTCCAGGAGAAAATAGGACAAAAAGAGGTGGAATAATTGCATATTTTATGAAAAAAGGTGAAGTACAGTACCTAATCATTCATATAAAATAGTTATTTATGCAACAAGTGTGTAAAGTGAACCTTTTTTCACGAATGTGAGTTTTGACGCACGAGCCGTAGGCGAGTGCGACAATCACATGAGTGAAAAAAGGTGCTTTACGCACGTATTGCATACAAAATTTTTTCTATTACCAATCAAATAAGTACGTGTGAAAAAATAAATTTGGACAAATACTTCACGCACTAGTGCGTAAAGAATTTTCACTTTACGCACTAGTGCGTGAAGTAATTTACCAGAAAAATGCCAAATTGACAGTGTCGACATCTGTCATTGACATTACTTTACGCACTAGTGTGTGAAGTGAATTACTTTACGCACTAGTGCGTGAAGTGGAATTTTACGTCTTCTGAATAGTGCGTAAAGTGAGTACTTTACGCACGGTAGTAGAAAAAATCCATTTTTTCTGTGACGAGAAAAAAGTAGACTTTTTATACCTGTTGACAGGGGCAAAAATGTCACTTTTCCTCCCATGGGAGAAAAGTAACAGGTACCAGTCAATTTTTTTTCCCGAGGGAAAAAAGTAACAAATAACAGTCAAATTTTTTTCTCAAAGGGAATAGTGTATAGATGGAAAATGTTGAGATTTTCCCGTCACAGAAAAAATAGTTACTTATTATACAAGGGAAAAAAGTACTAGATTTTAGCGCGAGGTGTGGTTTGTCTCCCGACGCGAAGCGGAGGGAGACAACACAGCGAGCAGGAAAAAAGTAGACTTTTTGTACCTGTTGACAAGGAAAAAAATGTCACTTTTTCTCCCATGGGAAAAAAGTGTTTTTTTTCCCACGGGAAAAAAGTAACAGGTACTAGTCACTTTTTTTCCCGAGGGAAAAAAGTAACAGGTACCAGTCAAATTTTTTTCTCAAAGGGAATAATGTATAGATGGAAAATATTGAGATTTTCCCGTCACAGAAAAAAATAGTCTATTATACATGGGAAAAAAGTAAGATTTTAGCGCTCGCTGTGTTGTCTCCCGACACCTCGCGCTAAAATCTAGTACTTTTTTCCCTTGTATAATAAATAACTAATATTTTTTTCAAAATGGGATATTCAGAGGCTGGACTATGAGGAATAAACCTAAGGAACCTAGTGTATTTGGAATCAGGTTTGAAAGGCTAATTCAATAATATACGGGGTTTTACATTTAAAAAAGTATAACTTTGCTTCTCCACACTTTTGTGACACACCCTGTATACTTGTAACTAACATCATTGAAAACTTTCTGATATTACCTACAACTTTCACAATTGACATTTCTGGGTATCTCTTCAAACAGGTGAGATAGATGTGGGTGCAAAATATAGACAATCACCCGGTACAACCAGGCCTAAAAATGAATAATTTCCCACAGAATTTGTTTCTCAATCAAGTTCCTAAAAAAACCATTCACAATGCTACAGAATACTTGAGAACTTCAATGGGATTTTTGGAAACTTCACAACACTTAAAATTCAATTAAGAATTTCCCAAAGTATTCTATAGCGCTTCAGAACATTCTGGAAATTGCAGAACCATTTTAGAATGCCCCAAAACAATCGAAACCCGATTTTCAATTTCCAAAAGCATTTTAGAAGAATTTAAAGATTTGAAACCAATTTTAGGACGCTCCAAACTACTCAAACATTCTAGAATCTCGAGAAACATTTTGAAAACCACCATAAACTTTTCAATAGAGTGTGTTAATAAATGACTTTTCAAATTGTATTTAAATTTAAATTTTGCTTTGCAAGTGTCACATTCAAAAGGATAAATATCAGAATGTGTCTGTTTGTGTTTCTTCAAATGCTGTTTTTTTTTTTAAATTTTGCTTTGCAGATGTCACATTCAAGTGAATAGATATCCGAGTGTGTCATTAGATGTTTTTGTAATTCTTCCTTAGTTTTAAATTTGGCATCGCATATGTTGCATTTGAAATTCCTCCCTTCCGAGTGTATTAGATTGTGATTCTTTAGATGATCTTTCCGTTTGAATTTTGCATTACAAGTATCGCATTCAAAAGGATAAATATCCGAGTGTGTTGAAATGTGCTTATTCAAAGTACTTTTCCCAAAAAACTAAGAGCGAGTTTAGATTGCTGTAGAACTTTAGACCTTTAATAAGCATCCAGAAGTTCAAATTCAAATCAGAATTTTTAGGAGCATTTTGGAATAACTGAAAAACTTCAAAGTTATTTTAGAATAATTTGGGTTCAATTTAGAACTGGAAACCTTTTAGAACTCTTTTGAACCGATTCAGAACACTTTCGAGCTTCAATAGGGCTCTAAAATAGTTAAAAATCTGTCAAAACAATTTAGAAATTACTGAAAATTGGGCAATAATTGCTCGTTGAAATTCTGTGCTGTCTGGAAACTTGTGCAACATTCGTCTATAAATCTTTGTGGTAATCCTAGATTTTTAATACTGTATTCTATAAAGTAAGATCCGATTGTAAGCTGCCCAAGAACTTCAATTTGTGCTGATTCAATAAATGATTATCTTGGTTGGAGCTACAGAACTATTCTGTATGTGAATAAAAGCTGCCCTGGGATATACGTGTGGCTTATAATTTCTGCTCTCATTAAAAACCAGGGTTGGCAAATATCATGATATTTATATAAATATCCAATTATCCGATATATATCGATATATATCAGATATATATCAAAATTTGGATATTTATTTATATTTTTAATTACTTCAATTAGTTCATCTGTTTTCTGTTATCTATAGGTAATATTAAAATTCAAAATATTATAGTGAATTTTGAAAAATGTTACAAACATGTGAAGTTGGTATGGTGATAACAAGTTTTAGTACTCCTATCTCCTAAACATATGTATAGGAATGTAAAGTGTAGTAGGTAAATAAAAATTTGAATTTAAGAATATGAAAACAAGTATGTCATTTATACTACTTATGTTTGCCTTAAGCCGTTGTTTAACAACAAAAAAAGAATGACAACTCTGAGCTCAACAACAAAAAGAAAACTACAACTTAGGGCGGGTATTACGAAACTATTTCGACAGAATAACTAGAAGTTAACTTCTGGAATGATGGTACTTCTCATAGTAATTCCAGAAGTTAACATTTAGTTATCTGTCAAAATAGATTCATAATACCCGCCCTAAAAATCTTGATATTTCTTGATAATTGACGTAATATAGAGTGTTTTGGCCGAGATCTCTATAATTTCCTTCTCATAAATATACTACTACGGTCTTGAACTTCTCAACATAACATAATAAAACTATAAAACAAGAAAAGAAGGCGATACAAATAATATTGATATTTATCATGATATTTATAGCATAAATATCATGATATTTATCAAGATATATATCAGGATATTTATCGCTGTTATATATCCTGCCAACCCTGTTAAAAACTACACCTTGAGATGAAAATATTCTCCAGACTATACACTATTGTGAGAATAGATTTTAGAGGAAGCAAGTAAAAAGACTTACAGTAGTTAATATTTTTCTAATCTCGTCAATTTTTATTTAGTAAGGCAGGTACGGCCGGCTCAAAAAAGTTTTACAGCTGTATGCAACATCCTCTTTTAACTTAAAAGCGCTTTTTAAAACTGGTACCTTTAAAAATTTGTGTGGTTTAGAATACACATTTTTAAAAGTGACCAGTTTTAAAAAGCGCTTTTAAGTTAAAAGAGGATGTTGCATACAGCTGTTAGAATTTGGAAGCGCGGTTAACCAAATTATCTGGACAATAATAAAAAAAATTACTTGGAACATTTGCGGATAATTGGAATCGATAGACTGTAATAAATGTATAATCTCGTTTGTCATTGCAAGATTTGAAATTGACACCCTGTATACAAATTAAATTAAAAAAACTATCACTACTATTCAAAATTAAGTAAAATATCAAAATTGTATTCATATTCAACGCATTATATTAACACTTGTAGGTATACATCCTTTATTATTCTCGTGACGCTCTCATGCAATGATGCACTCTCAATTACAGATTATGCACGCTTAATTTGCCACCCTCTCTTTTCATTATTATTCTACCTATCCTATGATGCTGCTGCAAACTGGGAGTCCTTTTAAATGTTGTGATTACGGTTATTGTGGAATTAGATATGTCGGAAAAGGGGTTGTAAATGACAAATTGGTCAAGTAGTTTATAAAAGGGTTTCCATTGAGGACAGATGATGTTTCATCATTGAATTACATAAGGAAAATTTTTTGATGAAAAATTTTTCACCAAGTTTTTATAAAAATTTGAATACTTTTTTCTCAGTAACTGAGTTGATCTAACCAAGAATTTAGCGTCATTGAAGTTGAGGCACTGGGAAAAAAATTATTTCTTAATATTAAAACTTGGCTCGTATGGTATCAATCAAGTTTGCTAAAAGTCCAATCTGGCCGATTATCTTCAAATTTTGAGCCATTTGCAAATGGAAATTTCCCTACAGACACCTACATATACGAGTTTGTTTCCAAGAAAATTGCAATAAAGTATAGGTGTATATCACACGATATTGTATATCAAGCAGGAAGCACACCCTGTGTATACTAAAAAGGGAAGTTAAACGGGCGCAATTTGGCCAAAATCACAATTACAAATTGGGCGGCATTACACTCGATTGGCCGGTAAGTGATTTAAATAGCACATATACATGACATATTGCTTAGTTCACACGGCTCCCTAGATATTTTAGAGACAGGACGCCATATGGACAGATTCGCATTTCAAAAACGGAAGTACCGTAGGTGGATTAAAAGTCATGGGTAAAACGATATTAGATTTGACGTAAAGGATGTAAATTGATGCACAGAATAAATACCTTTCGAGCCTTTCTAGCTGTAATGGGAACTTATCACTTCAAGAGCAACTGTTTTGTCTATATGGCAATAATTCATTCGCACCTGGGGGGCATTTCCACCCCATCTTAAATTGAAATAAAAAAATAATTAGTTCTGGACCACACCCCGAACATAGTAAATCGATTAGTTGTAAATTAGTTTCATTAAATTGGGTTGTAGGGGGCACAAAATTAGATTCATCATGCCAATTGTTGTGTTATCTTGTGATAATAAATAATATTTTAAAGAACTTTTATAAATCTTAAAAATTGACAAAATGTTAATTGTCATCTTAAAGATATGTGATAATAAGTAACTGGTATATATATTTGTATAATTTTCATTCGCAGGAGTATCTACTAATATCTGCGGTGGATTATTTATTCCACACTGTTATACAGGGATGTCTTATATTTCAGAACGCCCTCATTTTGAAGGAAGCTTAAATATAGTTTAGGATTTTCGTTAAAATCCAATTCTAGAAAATATATATTATTTTGCTTTTGGTTTAAAAGCAAAAAGCAAAGCTCTATACAAAATAATAACAATAATGTTATTTTAAGCTTGAGCCTCGTTTACAACTTTCCGCATGCTTAGCTGTACACAATGGCCAGCTTACTGTCCCGCTCTGATTTTCGCTGTAGAGCTTTTCACACCTCTGTTGTTACAATTTCCCCAGCAGTCCCCGTTTTCCCAGAGTCGAATATTTGATATTTATAAGCCTCTGGCGAGAGCGACGTTGTCGGATCAGAATTTTTACCACTTGAACATGAACAATAATGTATCTAAATAGATAATTTTAATCAAATGGCCTCCATATACAGGGTGTTAATGACTAGTGGGATCAAACTTCAAAGGTAATAGAAAAATAAATCCGCAAATGCTTAGTTTTCGAGATACAGGGTGTCAAAGTTTGAAAAAAAATCGGGTAATTAAAAACCCCTTCTCTAATTTTCTTTTTCAAATTTGGCAGATTTGTTTGTGATAACAAAAGGTATCTTTTGACTGTGATATGACTTGCTCAATCTGAAAAAAAATATATTGAAGTTATAAAAAAATAGTGACATCTGTGACTCTTCGTTTCCGAGATAAAGAAAATCCCTTTACTACCTTTCAAAATCAAATAACCCCATTTCTCCGCCACCAATTAAGTTTAAAAAAACTCTGAAATAGGTGTTCACTTATTTTGTTGGTAGAATCTGTATGCCAATTTTCAGATCTTTGCGGCTTCTCGTTTCCAAGATACATAAATCCTCTTTAATAAGTCAACTCCTATATCAACCCTCAGCCGATGTCATAAACCCAATACGTCCTCCATTTCCTCGTTTCATAACTGTAGGGCAAGTAGTTTGGCCTGTGCGTTTATAGTCGATGACTAACTACCGTTTTTTTATTAGTATAGATAATGGGACTGTTTCCACAGAAATCACAAACCAGTCAGAACGTTTTTGATTGGTCCAAATCGCCAACAACCAGTATCCTGACTATTTACAACCAATGAAATTCGCTCTGACTAGTTTGTGATTTCTGTGGAAACAGACCTATTATGTTTCGTTTTCGATTTTGGCAACATCGAATCTAAAAACGATACAATAACAACTACAATTCGAAAATGTAAAATATTATTATGATGCGATAAGGGAGAATCAGTGGAGCGCATTGGGAAGCGTCGGCGTCAACAGAGAGACTTTACGCGGACGCCACAGAGGGTGGGACTTGGACACATGTTCAAATTGTTTGGGGGAGGAGCTCATAAAATTTAAAACAAAATAAATTATATAATTTAAAAATATTGACCAACTTTTCAGTGGCTAGAAGAAGACGAAAAGAAGGTAGACCTCGTAGACAACGAACAACTTTCAGCTCGGAACAAACCCTAAGCCTAGAAATAGAATACCAAAGATCAGAATATATTAGTAGAGGCAGACGATGCGAATTAGCTGACAAACTCCGGCTATCGGAAACTCAAATTAAAATCTGGTTCCAAAATCGACGAGCCAAAGACAAGAGAATCGAGAAAGCTCATTTGGATCAGCATTATAGGTAAGCTAAAAACATAATTATTAAGGGCACGCTCCCTTAACTAACCATATCCGAACTGAAGATCTCCCCACTAAAAAGAATAAGTTGTTTGTATTATTTCCCGCTGAAAAGAATATTATAATTGAGTTAAAAAAGATCCGCTTCCTGATATGATTTTCTCGTGTTAACAGAGCATTAAATACACCTTTTTTAAAGACTATTATCCTTGTTTATCCCCCTTCGCCATCAGTTGGTTGTTCTCATAATGAAGGAGCTTATTGTGTAATAAGTTTATGGACCTAATTATTTTTGGATTGCTATTGAAATTAATTTCTTTCAGGAAACTAATGGGTTCATTTCAAAGCAGTCTATGTCAAATTTGTACCGACGGTCCCTGTTTTCATTTGCATAATTTCATCAATGCTCAGATGCAACATTGCAGCACACATCCAGAAGTATCTCAGTCTCCTAATAATAGTTTGTTAGGTGCCAGTACTCTTTGTATTGATAATAGTAGTAGTAGCATAAGTGAGTCTATTCAATAGTAAATATTATAGAAACTGTTTAATTTTAATCAACTATTGCTATCAAATGTGTTTTTAGTGATTTATTGTAGGTTAATTCAAAATTCTAGTCTTATTTATCATTACTATACTTAGGTTTTGATGTATTTTTATATTATAAAAGCAATTTCCAATATAAATCCTTTGTTAATAGTTGCCAAATATGTATTTTTATTTCAGCATTACCCAAGCAATTTGTATCTGAATATTCGAGAGTTAATCTTTGATTTTAAAGAGTTCATACTTGACCGAACTTTTAATCAATACCACTGTTCGCTTCAGTGGAGAAAAATAAACCAGTTCAAAATTATCAGTAAGGGTGAAATACAATAGGTAGATATTTCTGGTTGGTTTAAATAATTCTTGGTTAGGGAAAGGTGAAAGGTTGAAAAAAAAAATATATGCCAGGATTATATTGGAATGTGTATTTATTTTCTTTAAAAAAATATTAAGGAACAAATGCTGTGTTATCATCATATTGTGTGTTGATCAAGTTTTAGCATTTTCTTAAGAGCGTAGGGATCAAATTCTTCAGGAATCAAAAAGCAGCTAATTTTCTAAATATTGGAATAAAGTTTACCCCCTCTGAGGTTTACCCCCACCAAAATATCGCATAATTTGTACTAAATTTTAGAACAATACTTTCAAAGGTTCTTACGAGCCTGAAATATGCCAAATTGTGATTAGAAAAAGAATAGTAAGAAAAATGATTTGAAGTTGGGCAGTTCACAGCATAAATAAACAACTGAGTATCAACTAGATAAACACAGGTTTCTGAGACTTTTCTTCAACAAATCATCATAAAATACTTACCCTAAAACTCCTATAAAAAATATCACAGATGGAATTCTCACCTGTCCTTAGTTGGCCATCATTAATGACAACTGTACAACCCTAAAGAGGAAAAAAAAGCACATTAGACAAAATATTGATAAATTTGAGTCACCAAAATTTTTATCAGTGATTTGTTATCATCTCATTAAAATGTTTGCTTTAATTGCATTCAGTGGTCCCAAAACAAGTCACTGACAATACTTTTGGAATAGATTGTTCCAACAAAAGCAAAAAACCATTTTAGTTCATGTATTACAAGAAATCTTAATTATCGACTCGAGAGCCTTTTTAAATAAATTTAAAAATGTTTTTAATAAAACTATTCCTGGTACTCAAAGGTTGCAAATGTCTGCTCTAAAACCATCTATACTGGAATAAGAGAACTTTCAATGGTCAACCAGTGACTACAAAAACAGCCTGAGACAGATATCGGACATCAAAATGCCTAATTTGAGGATGGGAGAAATTGGCTAATGTACCTGAATACTAATAATTCACACATTTTAGCTATAGTATCACTGACCTATACTAATAGATTTTTAGCCCATCCTCACTAAATCTAAAAAGAAAACATCAAATATACATACCTATTATATTCATAAGCCCCTATCTAAACTGCTTTCTATTACATATTTTATAGATTTTTTTTTAACGATTCGAAGAACTGTACCAAAATATCCTACACCTGTAAATTCAATTCCACTGTTTATCACTATTTTAGGTTCCTGCTTCGTTCGAATATTTAGAGAAAAAATATATATTTCTACTTTTTCACTATTCTGCCTTCCTGTAATGTAAGCTTTGTCCAAAAAATAAAAGCACTTTAAAATGGATCTATTACCTACCTAAACAAAAAAAAAAAACAATGACAAACCACCTTTTAGTTTGTATTTTTATTAAGTCCTTTAATTAGTATGTATTACAAAAGTTGCACATTAAAATCATGACATGAACCTATTACTAACACATTTGCAGAAATCGACACAAAACTATAACCTAAAACTTGTCCAATGATAAATTACTTAAAAACTAATCTCCCTTCAAAAAAAGTATTAAGTTTGTCCTTTTGATTTAGCCATTTATAATAAAATAAGAATAGGATCAAATAAATGTAGACAACTTTTAATATCAAAATTTGATCAATGAAAGCTCAGAAAATTACTTTTTTTCACAAATTGAATTACTTTTCAGTGCAGCAAAATATTAAAAATTGTCCAAATTATTTATAGAATGGCTGGCACGATACGTATTTGTGAAAACGGATTGATGCGGGAGAAATAAACTTACATTAGAAATTTAATATCTTCTGTTGCCAGTGCTACCAACTGCCTGACCTTGTTGGTATCCACCACTACCGTAGCCACCAGAATCTGAAAATTGAATTGAAATTTATACCTTACATAAAAAATTAGCAATGTTGTGGTTTTGCAACTTTTGATTCTCCCTCCTAATACAATCAACAAGTTAATTAATCTAAGACTGCTAAACTTAGTTGAAAAAGGTTAAAAAAAAAATTGTCATCACTTACTGTAAGGAGCAGTCCTTTGCTGTTGATAGTTATTCCTCACAGCGCCACCAGCGTAACCTTGTTGGTAATTATTACCAAAGCTATTTCCTTGAGGAGGCCCAGAAGGTTGCACATTTTGTCCACCCCATCCACTAGCTAAACAAAAATTTTGAGAATTTAGCCAAGCCAATTTCCAATAAACAATAAAACTTACTGTTATATCCTCCTTGTGGTGGTCCTTGACTATACCCTTGTTGTTGCTGTTGGCCACCCCAAGATTGTTGAGGTTGCTCCCAACCACCGCTGCCTCCTGAGTTGCTGTTCCATGGGACAGTTTGTCCCCCTTGATTTCCACCCCATTCATTACCTTGATTCCCACCCCAGTTGTTTTGTTGATGGCCTCCCCAAGGAGCTGGTTGCTGACCTCCATAGTTACCGCCCCCGTGACCATAATTGCCCCCTCCTTGCATGTTTCCTGAACGCCCTCCTGAACGTCCGCCACCTCCACGTCCCCCACGTCCACCCATCGGACTTCCTCCCATAGGTGCTCCTCCTCCTCCTCCTCCTTGCTGAATGTCATTTCTGTGCAAGGCTTTTTTCACATCAACTGGTTTGCCTTTGATAGTGTGACCTCTGTGCACTTCAAACAAACATTAATTAAATCCGCTTTAATATGGGAAAATAGTAACTTACAAACAATCTTATCAACTGAATCATAATCTTCAAATTCAACAAAGGCAAAACCTCGCTTCTTTTTGGTCTCTTTGTCTACGACAACAGAGCAAGTCAAGATGTTGCCGAATGTCTTAAAGTAATCCCTTAGGTCTTCTTCTTCAATGTCATCTTTTATTCCGGCAACAAATAGTTTCTTAACAGTTGCACCAGACTCAGGACGTCCAATCTCTTGACGCGGCACCGCCCGTTTTGGCTCAACAACACGACCATCAACCCTAAAAGAATTATTGTATTTATCAATTTATTATTGTTAAGAGGTACTATGGGAAGTAAATAGTTGCAAAACTGTATGTTGTGTTTCTTGAGCTGTAACAGACTGACTGTTAAACAACTATTGCACCACAACAAATTAATTTTCCTTCTAATACAACCAACAATTTTATTTAATCTAAAAATGTCAGACTTGGTAGAAGGGGATACTAAGTAATATGAGATTTGATTCAATTGGTTTACCTATGCGGCCTGGCATTTTGGGCATCATCAACCATATGCGCTTTCGAGTAAGTGATAAAACCAAATCCCCTGCTCCTTTTGGTAATGGGATCTTTCATGACAACAACGTCCACAATGTCGCCCCATTGTTCAAAATGTTTTTTCAGGGAATCGTCTGTGGTGCGAAAATCGAGCCCTCCAATGAACAATTTTCTCAATTGCTCAGGCTCTAAGCCATTGTCCTGAAAAAAATATATTAAATTGTCATACAAATGTTATGAAAGCATTGAAACAAAGAACAACGAATTTTAGAACATTTTCAATTACTCCAGGTTAGCCTTCAAATCCGAGTTAAAATCTTGGGCTCCTTAATTTTTCAAGAAAATGACTGTTCTGCTAGCTTTAACTTAAGCTAGCAGAACATGAGCGAAAAAGTGGCGAAAAAGTGACTAAAATAACGAAAATTGCAATTCCACTTGCACAGACAATAAAGGCTCATTGAAAGCTCTGAAAATACACCAATCATGAATTTCAGGTTCAATTACTTTTTTTGTGAAAATGCAAAAAGCGCGATGTGTGAGTGATGTCGGCCAAGCATGGCAGAAAAATCTCTCAGACGATGAAAATCAGTGTTCCGATAGTCCAGCCGTAGTGAATACATTAAAGGCTAATTAAATGCTGTAATGAGAAATTTTTGGCTACGCCAATTTTCGCGAAAATTGCTATTCTGCTAGCTTTAACCTAAGCCAGAAGAACATGGGCGAAAAAGGGGCTAAAAAAAAGAAAATTTCAATTCCACACGCACCGACATTAAAGGCCCTGGAAATACACGAATCGTGAATTTCAGGCTCAATTACTTTTTTGTGAAAATGCGAAAAGTGGCGATATGTGAGTAATGTCGGCAATGCATGGCGGAAAACCTGTCAGAAAGTCAAAATCAGTGTTCCGATAGTGCAGTTGTTGTGAAAACATCAAAGGATAATTAAATGCTGTAATGAGAAATTTTAGGCCCTGCTAGTTTCCGCAAAAATGGCTATTCTGCTAGCTTTAACCTAAGCCAGCAGAACCTGAGCAAAAAAGTGGCTAAAACGACGGAAATTGCAATTCTACTTGCATAGACATTCAAGGCTCATTAAAAGCTCCGGAAATACACTAATCACGAATTTCAGACATTTCTAAACTTACCAATATTAACCTGGTTAGTTTGGGTATATTGCAATTTTAATTAGACTTTCCCAAACTTACTAAATCAAAAAAGTAATTGAGCCTGAAATTTGCGATTGGTACATTTCCGGAGCCTTTAATGAGCCTCCAATGTCTGTGCAAGTAGAATTGCGATTTTTGTTGTTTTGACCACTTTTTCCTCATTGCTCTATTTGTTATTATATCTATGATATATGTTTTGAAAAGATTAACTCGCTGTCTAGCCAGATGCCAAGGTCCTTAACTAGGGTTTGTCTCTCTAACTCTAATGAATCAAGTGTATAATCGAAAACAATAGGGCCCCCAGATCTACTGAATGAGATAACACTACACTTTTGAATGTTTAAAAAATTATTCAATTCACTCCAAGCTGAAAATCTATTTAAGTCTTCCAGCAACAAAATACAATTTTCAGTAGATCTAATAATTATCATGAAAATGTCCAAATCATCAGCAAATGCAAGAAACATACTAGATTTAAATACATGTTCAACATCATTTAAAAAACAATTAAAAAGAAATGTAGGCAGATGTCCACCCTGGACAACACCAGAAGTAACTTCCAGTTCTAAAGAGATATAATTGTGCATTTTGACAGATTTTTTTCTGCCTGTTAGATTAATCTGAAACCACCTTATTAAAATGTTATGTACACCAGCAGCCTCCAGGTTTTTAAAAAAAAAATGTTATGATCAACCTTATCAAAAGCCTTCAAGAAATCAGTATAAATTGCATCAACTTGATATCTATTCCCAAAAGCATCCAACAAAGCCTGCTCATAAGTTAAAAGATTTGTTATAGTTGATCTTTCCTTCATGACAATGTTCTCCATTGATATTGACATTCTTAAAATGTTGGGTCATTCTATCTGCAAAAGACTGGAGTAACATTGGATTTTTGCCAGGCTGCTGGATATGTACCTGTAGACAATGACAAATTAAAAATATCACAATAACTTTGTTAAGAGTAACTTTATCTGGAACTTTATATTATCTCAACTATTATTTGGGGTTCCTTGAGGAGCCCCCCACGCTGTAGTACAGAGTAAAGGAGACCTTATACACTATTTTAGAATCACCCTGTATAACCACTGTTAAAAGTTTTCTTAGAAGGTCTGTTATCACAGAAATCACAAACCTATCAGAGAGAATTTCATTGGTTGAAAACAGTCAGAAAACTGATTGTTTGTCGAAAACGCTCTGACTGGTTTTTGATTTCTGTGAGAACAGACCTAAAATATAATGTAACGTACAAACTCGCGTACAAATGAGCACAATATCAGATTACAACCAAAATACGAAATTACTTATAAATTTATGGTAAAAAGTAAACTACTGGCAGAAAAAACAGGAAAAAGGCTTTTCTCGAAAGAGCCTCTCCTAATTTTGCTGATGTGTCATCCATAATTATATTCGAATGGGTGAAACCTGTGAAACCACATAAAATAAAAATTATTTCTACTTACATTGTTATGTTCTCTCTTCATTTCTGATAAGTTCAGTTATTAATTTATCGCGAATAAAGAATATAAAATATGAATTTTATGCAAAAATTTCAAAAGGACGCACCCTTTTGCCTTCCTCGCCTTCCCTTCGAAAGTTCAAAAACAAAATGGTCGATTAATGACGAAGTGAGCATTCGACAAATTTAGAAAATGTCATTTGTCAATGTGAGTCGGTTGTGGTCGAACACTCGAAATGCTCCAGAACAGAGACCGAGCGGATTGAACAGATCGAACAAAACTATCCCGATTGATAATGGACCTTTCTCATTTTACCTGTGCTGCGCGCGCATCTTGTGGGTGACAGATAAATTAAATCGTCAATTTACTGAACACGATCTGACCCTGACTTATTTAAGCTAACCTCAATAATCAATCAGTCAGTATCAATCAATATTGCTGAAAATTAATACAAAAACTGTTTATGATACAATGGTTCAAATGAGTTGAATGAATTCTTGTCAGAATTAGGCGAAAAAGAAGTGAAACCTTTCTTTTCACAAGTTCCCAGGCAATTAAATTGTAAGAAAACAATAGTTACGTGCTCTCAACCCGAATGAAGACGATTTAAGTTGGGACAGAGATTTGAGGGTTCGTAAAATAACGATTTTTATGTCAAATACAATAATAATGTACAATTAAAGGTTTGCTGCAAACATTTTTGCTGCGGTGGGTTTTTTTTCTAATTAATGTTAATACGTATTTTGTCATATTTACGTTTAAAAATAAACAAAAACAGAAACATAACCGAAAGTGCACAATTTGACAAGTGGAACCAATCAAAGTCATTCCACACAGGTATCGTGCGTCATTATATGTGTCTTTTTCTTTATTGCAGAAATCTTAATAAACTATCCTTGTTGTTCATTGCATGAGAAAGGTCCATTCAATTTGACAAATAAAATATTTATGTATTATATTTTATGGACTGCTACAAATTTGTGTCTCGAAATCAAACTTCCCCCAACTATTTGTCATTATTCAAGGATTATTGGATCAATTTTAATTTGCTAGATCTACTCCAAACTCCAAGCAAAACTCGATCCGAGTACTCGAAACAGGAAAGCTGCCCTGTTTGAGGAATAAATTTGTTTGTGTTAAATTAATCGTCCACATTTAAGTTAAATGATTTAGGGAGGGTATTATAAAACTGCTTTGACAGTTAACTCGAAGTTAACTTTTTGATTTACATGTAATTCCAGAAGTTAACTTTAAGTTAACTCTCAAAGTAGTTTTATAATACCCGCCCTTATTGTGTGAACTGTATTCGGATTAAGAGAGCACAACATACCGTTCAGATTCGAATGGTATCGATGACGTCACTTTGTGACCAGTTAGGAAACGGTATGTCATTTTTCTAACCAAACTCGGCGATTGGTTACCTTTAACGGTTAGAACCAATAACGTAAGAACAAATATAAGAGAGTTCTCGAGCCGTCCAAATTTCAAGTTTGACCACAGACTTTGACAGTTTTACGGTATCAGCGTTCGCGGAGCCCGCTATCTAACGCCCCGAAGCGGTTTCGGAGCTCCTCCTAGATGTGAAAGGTATACCCAGAGCTGCTTTCCAGTGCCTAAATTGTCAGAGTATCATGCTCCTGGAGTGTGACGCACTTGAACTGTTCCACACAAGCAGCACTGGAACCAGCGTTGCCAGACGTACGACAGGTGTGGTATTTGTACGACAGTTTAGGGCATATTCGTTACAAGAAAATCAATGCGTACGGTAGTACGGTAAAGTACCACAGTTTAGAAATATTGGGGTGATTGGTAATATTTTATGGTAATATGTACCACATTTCTACATTCTCCTTTTTTTCTTATGTGTGTTGGCCAAATTGGGTAAAAAATCTATGACAGATTTTCAAAGCTTGTGGCTTGAAAACAGTCTATAGGCAATTTTTCGCGAGGATAATCAATCAAGCATAATTTATCGATTATGCTTGATTATGTGATGTGTGAATTGTGTCATACCATACTCCCCCAACTCTCTCACCATCAAATTCTGGGATACTCGAGAATCATCAAGAACACTTAATTTCTTGTGAGAAAACAGACCAAAAATTATTTTTTCTACATTTAAAATCGACGAAAAAATTCACAAACTCACTAGCACAGCCTGAATCGCGAGTATTCCATCGAGGTCTGCGGGTGATGTCATCACTATAAGCTGCTGATAGTGACGTCACTCGCAGGCCCAAAATTTGATGAGGATGGAGTTAGGGGAGTAGAGTATGACACAATTGACAGTTTATCAGTTTATGGCCGAGTTCGTTTTTGTCATCTTTTTCGTCGATTTGCTCCGAAATTTTGACAGGCACGTTATTTGTAAATTGAAACTGTCTGATCCAGTCACGTGTCTGTCAAAATTTCGAAGCAAATCGACGAAAAAGATGACAAAAACGAACTCGGCCTCCTATATAGTACCTATTTATATCTCACTAGATTCTGATTGACACATTACATAACCCAGCATAATCAGATACTCCTGTTGTTGTAAGGTCTAGTTCAAGTTTTCAACATTTAACGCTCTCAAACAAATCATATTTTTTCTAGTAAATACATATGTACTAAAAGCGTAAGGTAATGTGTACCACAAGTATTCATGGCGCGTACGTCCCTGTACGACAGTTTTTGAGCATTGTGTACCACACTTCCATATTTAGAGTCTGGCAACGCTGACTGGAACGCTCCCGTGTTAACCCTCACCACTTCGGACTTCAGGAGCATGAAACAGCGAAATAATGGTTGGTGCACGAGGGGGCAGGGGATAACAGAAATGAGTAGTTCAAGTGTACGACACTCTAAGCACTGGAACGCGCAAAGTAATTGTGGAGCACTCCTGAGCTGCTCAGGAGTAACTCAAATGGGTCACTGGAAAGCACCTAAGGATTACAACTAATAATGTCGATGTCAGGTGTCTTTCCCTTGTCTTTCCAGTACACAAATTTGAAAATATCGTTGGCTTTGGCGTGGCTTGGCTTCAACAATTTTCCCTCGAGTTTTCCATAATTTAATTTGAAATTTTGTTTGAATGTGGGTGAATATAAATGATTGCTAGTATATTAGTGAACGTCTAATTGTTAACTGCTTTTTGTGAGTGACTTTTCAAAGATTATAGCTCATTATCTGATACATACAATTTACATTGTTCAATATTTATATCGTATATCGTCCATTTTGTAAGTTAGGTACTGAATAAGGTATAGGTACTACACTAAGATGTCCAGGCTTCCCAAACCCACCAGCAGTACAAAAATAAGGCCAATTCCTTCAGTGAAACCTTTTGGATCAACATCAGAAAACACTATCACATTTGGAGAGATAAAAACGAAAGCTCATGAGGCTCCGCCAGCTATCAATAAATATCCAACATTCACTGCAAATAGCCTTAGAAGAAGATCAAAATCAGTAGCAGATCTAACTACGGCTGATAAACACCCAAGCATCAATAAATGTGCACCGTTTATTGCAAATAGGTTCAACAAGAATAGGAGACAGTCAAAATCATATTCAGATTTAACCACAATTGTTAGGCAACCATTCACAAGAAGTTTTAAGCCAATAACTGAAAGAAAAGCTCCAACTGCTGGTCCTCAAAATAAAGCTTTTCCAAGTACTAGCAGAGTCCCACCTCTCAAATCTGGTGCAACAAAAACAACTCTGGTGGGCTCTAAAAGACCTGCGGCCAAAAGTGATGAAGGCGGTCCTAAGGCAAAAGCTGCAAGAAAAATACCAGACTGGGATTACAAGGGACGATTTTTGCAGCTTAATGAAAAATATGAACAACTTCAAAATTGCATGAAAGGCTTGCAGGACAAAGCAAATCGTAAGTGTTTTTGGAATTATTAGTATTCAAATAAATTCACAAGAAGTACTATCTTTATTTCTTCAATTTTTAATACGGTCAAATGGGGCAAAATTGATCAATCAGTGAAAATTTCTAATTTGTTTGTGTAGGTACATAGGTACTTAAATTATTATTCTTTCTAGAATTTGAGAGTACTAAAGAGGAGTATGAAAAAATACAAAAAGAACATGAAATTGACATAAAAACTATTGATTCCCTCAGGAGAGAAAATGAAAGTAAAACCAGAAAATGCCAAGAATTAACAAGTAAGAAATATTTTAATAATTATAATAAATACTCGAGTAAATATCTAATAACTAGGTAATAGTTTTATTTTCAACTGGATGTAGCTACTGATAATAGTGCATTTTTTGACTCAAGTGTACTCATTAGAAATTATTATTTGCAGCTAGCTTAGATGAACTAAAACCGGCCCATGAAACTTTAACTAGAAATTATAATTCACTTCAAAATAATTTTGATAAACTAAATGAGGAATTCAACAAATATCAAGAACAAAATAAAAACCTTTTGGAAAAATTGAACAAAGAAAAAAAAGAAAACATAGAACTAAAGGAAGTTATCACATTACAAAAAAGTGATTTGATTAACTATCAAACTGAAAGGAGAGTGCTGCACAACACCATCCAAGATTTGAAAGGTTTAATATCCTCTACACTGACTTTATGTTCTCAATTTACAAATAATTTATTTGATTTTAGGCAATATAAGAGTCTTCTGCAGGATCAGACCGCCGCTTCTTTCAGAGCTAAAACAAATCCAGTGTAGTATAGAGTTTATTAACGAGAACGGTATTGAAATTCGTAAAAGCCAAGAAAGCTATGATCAAATCACTGGTAAATTAAAAGAGATAAAATCTGAGTTCACCTATGACAAAGTGTTTGCCCCCCAGAGTTCTCAAGAAGAGGTAATGTTTGTCTGTATTTTCTCAGTTCATTTATAGTATAAATTATTTAAAGGTGTTTGAGGATCTTGCACAATTGGTCCAGTCTGCTCTTGACGGATACAATGTGTGCGTTTTTGCCTATGGCCAGACTGGGTCAGGTAAGACTTATACCATGCAAGGAGGTGGTGGAATCCAAAAAGGAATGATTCCCAGGACATTTGATTTAATTTTCAAAAACATTGCTGAGCTTCAAAGAAGTGGATGGTCGTATACAGTGAAAGTAAGTGAACTACTCCTTAGTTTAATAGACCCACCTGTTTATTCTCTATAATTTCAAAACAACTGTGTGTTCAAACTATACAAAAAATTATAAAATATCTGAGGTAAGGAATGGAATTTAGTTCTGCAGTTGGTGTTTTAAAGAAGTTAGAAGAAACAAGCAAAATCTGATAGAATCAAATTTAACACAGGTAACCAACTTATTATCGAAAGCAATGTTTAAGACCTTATTACAAAAAATACTTGACAAAGTAGCAAGAATTTTTCTTCACAGAAACAAAAATGATTACATAGTTATGAACATCAGGCAAATAGATTAATAAAACCAAGAGCTTGTCCAAATTACTACTGTAGTGTTGAAATTATAGATATTTTTTTGGGTGCAGCCATCAATTTTGGTTTTAAGAGAATAGCTCAGGAAACGTAGGTTCTACTACGCAATCTCGATGGTAGTCGGGTTTTATTTATTTTTTCTTATAGATTTTGGTATGCTGGAAAAAAATTCCCTTGGCTCACCCCGTTTCGAGCCCTTAAAGGGGGTAGTTTTTGGTTTTTTGCAAACCTAGCACATCCAATTTTTTTTATGATAAATTATAAAGGACTATATTCCCTACAATTTCTTCAGCGGCAGTATAGTCCAACACCTACCCTTAAGTGAGGGTAAGGCCCCAAAGGTGACTACTTTAAAAAAAACATGTTTCTGTAAAACATTTTTTTTTTTTCGTCAATACAAATGCGAATCGACCTAAAATCCTGCGGCTATTCATTATAGATGTATGACTGATTTTTTGGTATATTTTTCATAGATAGGCAATCGCGCATTTTCAAATTACAGGGTTTCATCACCTAAAAAACACACCTTTATATTATCTCAACGGCTAATGCTAGTGTGATCAAATTTTCAGAGAATATTCATATAGGGGTGTTATTTAAAACTTTCTATACTGTACCCCCAATTTTTCCTTGCAATCCCAAAATCTTCAAGAAAACAAATAAAACCTGACTACCATAGAGTATGTGTAGTAGAACCTACATTTCCTGGGTTAGAATAGGAACCTACATATAAAATGCTTAACTATTTTCTTTAGGCAAGTTTTTTGGAAATTTACAATGAAAATATAAGAGATCTGCTCACCACAAAGCAGGGGCAAAAACACGACATTTGTTTCAATGAAGGTGCGGAGACAACAGTAACGAATTTGTCAATACAGACAATTAATTCGGCAGCTGAATTAGAACGTTACATGGTATTGGCGCACAGGAACAGGGCAACAGCAGCTACTGATTTTAATGAGCATAGTAGTCGATCACACGCTGTCACGAAGATTTATTTAGAAGGTAAAAGTCTCTTCTGGAAGCTAGAAATTGGTCAAACATTCTTTTAGCTCAAGTGAAAAAAAGTTTATTAGGAATTTCTAGTCTCTAGATATTCCAGAGACAAATAAACCAAATCAAAGATTATTTAGATAGAAACTTTTTTTAGGAACTTTGGAAGATCTGGTATACAAGGGCAGTTTGAATTTGGTTGATTTAGCTGGTTCAGAAAATGCTAAGCAATCAGTAGCAGGCGACAGACTAACTGAAACCAAAAACATCAATAAAAGCTTGGCCACTCTTGGTGATGTCATTCAGCATTTACATCACAAATCCAGACATATACCTTATAGGTAAGACATTTACATATTTTTTTTTCTGTTACTCGAAAAAATCTATTCTAGGAATTCAAAACTAACATATTTGCTGCAATCCAGCTTAGGGGGAAACTCTAAAACTCTAATGATTGTGAATATCTCCCCAATTGAAAGTTGTTTTATGGAGAGTCTAAACTCTTTGCGTTTTGCTGCTAAAGTCAAACAAGTCAAAATTGCTAGTAAAAGAAACAAGATGAATGTGACCAGTATGAAACAGTGAAACAAAAATTAATTTTTAATTAGATGTTAAATACTTATACGAAAGTGACATGATTGAAATTATTTATGCACGTCAAATTAAAACATGATTTTATGCTTGGTATATGTAAGTGTTTTATGCACAAAATTTTATCAATTCTGGTAAGGCTTCATGGATATAAAATGGATTTAATTTCAGTATCTTATTCATTGGCTCACTTTCATCACAAGCTATTGACCAAAAAACAATTTTATCTTTTGTGTGTTATATGTTGTATTTTAGTTTAAAGATTTTTCTGAACTTTGATGTGTATTTTATATATATATATATAGAGTTTTGCTTTTAATGTTGTATTTTAGTTTAAAGATTTTTCTGAACTGTGATGTATATTTTATATGTATAGAGCAATGACGTATAGAGACATAGAGACTGGTTATTATTTTAAAATAAACAGAATTAATTTGTGTTTGGGATTTTTTTTCTTTAGGATTATCAGAAAAACAAAGAATTTATAAAACATTTCTTTAATAACCAACTATAAAAAGAAACAAATACATAGTACATATTTACAACACCAAAATTGTAAGAAATCCTAATTTTAAATCACATAAATGATATTCTAGCAAGAAACAAAGGTCAATCTTGGAATGCGTTTTTGTGCATTTTTTCAGCTATACTAAAAGTTGTACAGTTGGATAAAATAGTACTAGCGGAAATTTTCAGCACTTAGAGGCAGTTGCATGTGGGACACTTTTCCCATGAATTAGAAACTATGTTTTTAATTCTACAAGCATAATTATAGAAAGATGGAAATAAATCATTATTGGTGTTTGAATGAAAAACTATTTCCATTAAATAGTACAGAAGTTATTGACAACATTTATCGTTTGTGGCATTCTGCAAATTATTATGCTCATGCATGGTGGGTCCATTTGAGATGACTATCCAAAATGATACCAATCAAAGATGAGGTCGTTTTTCTCTGGAGAAGTTACCTTTTTATCTACTACATCAAAATCTTAAATTAACATTCCTTCATTGCTTCTTATTTTCAGTCATTTGGTGTCCATTTCAAATGCATACCAGTCTATTTCCAGAGAATATAAATAACTTATAAAATTTACATAAGGTTGAATACAGAAGATGATAAGTGTTAAGTGTATGAGTTAAAATTATCCTAAATAAAAAACAAGTAATAATTTTTCCACTATTTATTCAAATCCCTCGCTCATAAGTACCACAGTCAAAGCAGTCCATCCTGTAAAAGGCCTGCAACCGCTCCCCTCACCAGTTTTATCGTTATACTGTTCCCAAATATATCCCGTCTTTTCATACTGCTCAACAACATTATTAATAATGTTCATCCTTAATTCTTGATATAATCGATTCGCTTGATCTTGATATGGCCCTTCACTATGCCCATAGTGCCACAGAGCTTTGGTGGCTAGAAAATTGATATTGACCCAAATTTGACCTCTCCAATATGGTGGATCATGCTCAGTATTTTTGGCCATATAGAGAGGCGAAGTTTTCGAGAGTGAACGTAGCCCATAGTTGCTCCACATCAAATTTGGATCCCTTATATCTGTGAGGATTTTACCTAAACAAAGAAGCTAATTGAAAAATTGTCTCCAGTACAGTCACAATTTTCAAGTTGTGAAGTAATTAGTGTCAGAGTGTGTAGTAACGTGGAATAAATTATTGTTATGTTAATTTGGAACAAACGAACTCAAGATTTCTGTTACGCACCGCAGCGACTTGACAATAGCCTACCCTTTCTAAATTATATGTAGGAAGTTATTTAAAAAATAATTATTTACCTAATTTGGGTGATGTAGGTTCAAGTATCTGAAGAAGAAAAGGAAATATATTGACATAACCAAATATAGAATCCACCAGCCGGAATTCCGGTTGTTTCAGCACCTTCCTGGTCATTTCTAGATTTTGATTTTGCTGTCTAGGAAGTGGCTTGGGCCTCACCAACTTGACCGCGTCAGTGTGAAGACCATAATCAGCATATCTTTTTTCAAAAAAAAAAACTTATTTGCTGATTTTTTTTTTTAATTCTTACCTATTAGAATAATTGGACCAGTGCAATGAATCCATCAAGTGATTGTCCATTAGGTATTCAGCTGTCTGTTGGTATTTTGAATAAGAATCTCTGCCTAAAATATAAGCCAGTTTTGCTAAGGTGTTTGCGGCTACAGCCATCCAGCAGTACAAATCTATGTGACGTTCCAAGTCACTTGGATGTGACGCTCTAAAATATATTTATTTCACATAAATATTACCAACCAATCTTTGTCACTACCTTGGAAAATCATCCAATCCTGATGTTAGAGTTTTGGGATTCAATTCTCTATTGGTTAAAGGATCTCTACCTCTCCACCTGTAAGAACCTGCAAGAGGTCCTTTTTGGGTAGTATTAAACCATTGGAACCATGCCTAAAATTAAAAAAAATCAAATTCAATTATTTATCTCAACTTACAAGTACCAACTTGAAGTCTAGGATAGAGCCTTTCGAGATGCGCCAATCTTTCATTTGTAAGATCCTGTTCATATTTATTCAAAATATATTGAAGAGTTAGGAAAAACGTGGGCGGGTTTGCATTCGTGTTCCATTGCACTATAAATTCTTGTGGTACTTTTGCCACTGCTTCCACTCCTAAAATCTGTTCCCTGGGAATCCAACCTTCTACGTTAATTAAATCAAACCAATGGCCCATGATGTCTAATTCCATGTCCACGTCCCATTGGGAAATAAGCAAACCGTGGAAACCTTCGTCCCACAAAAATCCTCTGGGAAAAAAGCTTCTTGAAGGAACTGCAGTATAAAGGGGAGATTTCCAATAGCGAACCGGTTCTTCAGTATAAAAACTTTGCACTAGTGATGAACCATAAAAATATCCAATACCACCAACCATATTACTTAAGGCTGCTTGTGCAAAACGAATTTGATTTTCTGTGAAGCTATATTTGAATAAATTGTATTATTATTATTACATAATTTTGATTATTTTTACCCTTTATGTTTTAAAGCAAATGTATCTTCAAATCTTTGATTGAATCTAGTTTTGTGCCAGTTCAAAGCTTTTGTATATGAATCTCCCACTAGTTTATCATTTCTATTCACAACGCTTTTGGATTCAAATACAACATCAAGTGTAAATGGTAATTTTGCAGTAATTTGAGTTGCAACTAAGTTTGGATTTTTCTGGAATTTGATAATTTTTAAAAAAACTGAATACAAATAAAAAATCATACGAACATTTTCTGTTTCAGCAGGATAAATTTGTCCACCCAAAACAATCTTTCTGGGTACCTTAGGATTATCTTGAGCCAGTCTTAAAGACCATATCACAGTTTCTTTAAGTAAATTAAGTCCAGGAGCAGAAGTGCTCAAAAAGGATTCGTGATCCACTTTACCTTGTTGAGGAAACATTGTCATTTTGAATTCGCCTAATGTAGACGTTTCCCCTCTTATTCCAGTAATATCTGTATTGGAATTTGTTGGTGCTATGAAACCTTCTGTTTCGCTGTCCATGGCAGCGTACCAAATCAGAGAGACTTGTTCGTCTTTGGATATTAAACTTTTGTATTTTGGCTAAACAATTGCATAATTAGAAAATTTTTATAATAAATCTGCAATTATTACCAAAATATCTACAGATATTCTAGCTGTCCATTCTCCGCCATTTTGGCCCCCCAATCTTTTTACAAAACTTGTAGTTAGCTTGAACGGGCCATCTTGTAGTTCTTGGATCCCAAAATTGCTACCATCATGTTGTAGCCAACCGTATTTATCTAAATTATCACCTTGTTCGCACCAGTGCCTTAAAATACACAGAACCAGAGGTTAAATGATATTTCAATTTCATCATTTCCATTAAAATAGCTTTAATTGTACCAATAGGTAAGGATGGAACACTCAAGGGAGACTTGACTAAAATTACAAAGAAGTTATCATTGGGGATATTTGCTATAAGAAATGTAACTATATATTTTTTTTATAATTGAATAACATTTCAATGAGTGAGGAAGTTTATTATGCTCTTTCTGAGATCAGCTCAAGATATTACATTATTTTTGGGAGCTATGACCGAGTTTCCTTCTCAGACACGATTTAAATCACAAAAAGAGCGTTGAGAATGATATGTAAAGTTGATAGGTGTGGCCACTGCAAACCATTATTTAAGAAGCACCAAATTCTCACTATCTTTTGTTATGGGAATGTTAAAAAATCAATACCTAGGAAAAAAGTGTCACTTCGCAAACTGTCATGAGTGTGCGAACATCATCATTTTTTGACAGTTGTAGAAAATAGTTATTTTCCTAACAAGTGCGCAAAGTGTTACTTTTCCGCACGCAAACACAGTTATACGAACGACGCAAAGCGGATTTCGGATACGTGTTTGCGTGCGGAAAAGACACTTTGCGCACGTGTTAGGAACAAAATTTTTCCTACGAGCTTCATATCAGGTAGGTAATAACAAAAATTTAAAAAAAAAAACGATAATTTGTTGTTATTTTTAATTAACTTGAAGGGAACCTATGCATTTATCAAAAAATTACATAACAAAAAAAAATAACAGAAAATCCTCGTCAGAGCTGTTCATCTTAAAGCGTTTAAATTTGATGAAAAAGTTTGTAGATTTTTGCATATAAATAGAGAACAAATCTGACAATGTGTCAAAGTTAATTTATATTTGGTGTTTGTATAGATGTTGGCTGCTGATATAGAAACAAGAGGAAAAATTTGTCATCATGCGTCAAAGTCGACAGGTGCACTTATTGTTGCTTGACAATTATAATTACTTTTCGGCACTCAGTGCGGATAAGGCCCGTATCCGCACTGAGTGCGGAAAAGTGTAACTTTGAGCCCGGAAATGCGTGCGGAAAAGTACTACTTTGCGCACGCTCGTAGGAAAACTATATTTTTGTTGTAAAATATTGAACTATGGTCTAGTGACCATAGAAAAATATAATTTCCAACTGTTTTTCCAAACATTTCCACATTCACTCCAAACTATGTGAAATAATTTACTTATTGGGGTTAGTTATATGATTTTTTTCAAAAATAGAATATTATCATGAACAATTTGCAAACTGTGTAAAACATCCTCGAGCAGACTTTCATCTTTCCAACGAACCTAAGATTGGCCAAATTTGTTGAGTCTTTTGAAGTTATCCGCTTTCTCGAGTTGCAACATTTGACAGCTCATAACTATTTTATCCGATAAGTTATGGTGGAAAGTCATGAACGAAAATTGTGTGGAATTTCATCAAAAATCCATTGCTATCATTTTCAAGATACGTTTCCATTTGAAATTTCAAAAATAAAACCATTTTATCTACAAGCGTTTGGTTATGACGTTTTTACATAATCATTTTTCTAGTATTTGAGTTACGTCATGAGACTCATAACACAACTAATGGTGTTATAAACTAGGTTATGAATTCATAACACAACTAGTGGTGTTATGGACAAGGTTATGAGTTTATAACACAACTATTTTTGGTGATTTGACAAATTTCAAAGATAAACCTGTAAAGGTAAAATGAAGGCAGACAACTATTAATGAACGAAAATAATTGGAAAAATATTCTTATTTTTCGCTTTGTAGATAAAACGTTGTACATCACATGTGCGTTTAAACCTGACTACAAAACTCGTGTGATTAGAACGACTCGGTCTACGACCTCGTTGTTCTAATCCTTCACACTCATTATTGTAATCATGCTCATAAACGCACTTGTAATGTAAATAACTATTTGTACTTCGACAGTTGGGTTACGCCACTTGTGGTCATTTTAGAAAGCTGAAATATATTTCCAGCATTCTTTCTTGGCCACATTTATAGGATACTTTTTTTTTCGTCAAGACTACAATGAATAGTTAGTTTCTAAAATATGGTCGAGTGCCATTCTTAATGAATCACCCTGTACTTGGCGGTTACCTGACCCGTGCTTCTCGACTAAATTCAGACCGGCTGATAAGGGAACATAATTTTTTGTACAAGTCTCGAATATCTATGGCGGCTACTATACCTACATTTTCCAGCAAAAAATGTTCATTATAAGTAATTATTTGGGAAATTTAGGAAATTATTCAGGAAGTTCCATAAATTATTTAGGAAATTTTAGAAATTATAGGAAATACTTCTGAATATTCAGAGAATTTCGGAAATTATGGGCAATATCAGGAAAACATTTCCAAAAAGGGTATAGGTGTACAAAATTTAAGAGCGTGAGACACCCCTTGAGAAAAACTAATTCAAGTTAGACTAACATTATTTTAACAAAGCATAAACTTCTGTCACACAATTCGGATTCCAAGCAGAGAAAAGCTTGATGTAATTTTTATCTTTTTGGAGCATCTATACATACACTTGAACTCAGAAGAAATGACTTCGGTGGTGTTCTGTGATCTGTCAAAGACATTTGATTGTGTAGATCATGGAATACTACTAGTGGGTGAACTTAGTATCAATGATATTAGGGGTTTGGCTTTAAAGTGGTTGCAATTATATTTGAATGGTAGGACTCAGGGCGCAATTCTTGGACCACTTTTGTTCTTGATTTTTATCAATGACATATCTCATTTTCCAATAAGGGGAAGATTTACAGCATATGCAGATGATCAGGCAATACAACAGACAGGTTTTCTAAGATTATTCAGGAAGATTTATAGATAGTATTTTTGTTGAAAGAATGGTTCGATGCAAACCGATTATCCGAGCGATTATACCTCAATATTTCAAAAACTAGAATTCTTAATTTTAAATGTGACATTAACAAGATTCAACTGGAAAAAGAAGGTCTCTCGAATCCCAAATCGAATAAATTTCTTGGCTAAACGATAGATAAAAACATCAAGTTTTCTGAACATGTCAAAATTCTTTGATTTCTGCAGCATAAAATTTTAACCTTGTGCTGTATATTTATTCTCGAAAGAAAGTGTATGTGTTGTCTTTAAAAAAATTAATGAGGAGCTGGATAGACAAGGGCAGTATGGAGCTCATTGTCAACAAAGGCTACACTTGCCCATTCCACATTTGACATTAGTAAAGAACTCCTTTGTCTACAACGCAAAAAAAAAGTTTAATGCTTTGCCTACTAAACTTAGGAAACTTACAAGTTACAGAAGGCTTTGGTGTATGACCAAAAAGTTTTTGGTCTCTAGGGCAAAGTAAAATCTGTTTTTTTTTAAAGATAAAAGTCAAAATGACATTATGTTGGAAATTTCCCTTGTGCAAATTACACTGGAAATTTTGCATACAAATTGTCAAAATTAATACGTGGAAATTTTTGGAAATATCCCGGGGAAAATTTCCAGAATTGTCATTTTTGACATTGATGCCCGTTTTTCCATTTAAAACGCATTGATGTCAGAAATCTGTCAAAGTGTATATTTTTGACAAAAGCAGTTTATATGGAAAAGATCAATAGCAATCAGCATCAATAAAAGAATTCGACACAATGTAATAAATAAGTTTCAAACTCGGGAAATTTCCAGTAGTAATATAACTAGTGCATGAAATATTTCTGGAAATTTTTGAAAATTTTGTCTGAAGCCAATTTTTTATCATGAGTGCATAGCGCCTGAAAAAATTTGGCGCTATGCACGAATGGTTTTGTTCAAAAAAATAGCCTGAAGACGAAATTTTTTAAAATTTCCCTTAGTGTTATATTTTGATAGGAAATTTCCCGAGTTTGAAGTTTATTTACTACGTAGCGTCGAATTTTTTTATTGTTGTTGATTGTTATTGATCTTTCCCATTTAAATTACGTTTGTCAAAAATATACACTTTGACAGATTTTTGACATCAATACGTTTTAAATGGAAAAGCGGGCATCAATGTCAAAAATGACAATTCTGGAAATTTTCCCAGGGATATTTCCAAAAATTTCCACTTTTTAATTTTGACAATTTGTATGCAAAATTTCTAGTGTAATTTGCACGAGGGAAATTTCCTATCAAAATATAACACATGCATACAATATTTCCTAAGGGGAATTTTAAAAAATTTCGTCTTAAGCCAATTTTTTTAAACAAATTGTCGAAGCAAAGTAAAAAAAAAGCGAATTTCGCGGTTATAAGTACTAGGCTTTATGAATACACGGGACGAGTACTCAAATCTGACATTTTTTGACATAGTTGACATGTAACAACCCATATTCTAACCTCATAAAAATTTCAAAATGCCGGCTGGTTGGCAAAAGTCAGGTGGTTTGGATTCCCTAATTAGTGATACATGTATGTGCAATTAATTTTAAGCATGGCTTTGTCAACAAGTACTTTAGACAAATAAAGCTACTTTTGAATTTGAATTATTGATCAATAAATTGAATTTAATTTTCTTATCACCTTATTCCATCACCTCCTGGACCTAATCTATTTGGAAAGTACCACATTAACCCTGTAACCAATGATTGCGGGTCCCTTGTTTTAAGACCAAAATACACGCCGGGTCTATATGAGCCCCAAAATTGCTCTGGAACTTTCAACCCACTGTCTATGACAACCTGTAAGTGGATATTGAATAAAAAGGTAACATAATATTAGTAATACTTACCCTTTTTTCATCAAAAGGGGTGTTCACTCTAGTCTGTAAATAACCCATGACCCCAAACACTACAGTTACCCCCAAAACAGCCACGAAAGCCAACTGTTTCCAATAAGAGAATATGCTGCTTTGTTGTTGGGCAATTTTCGTATTTTGAATACTGCTGCCATTGCTGCTACTGCTATTTCGGCTTTTGGTGTCTTTACTGCCCTCCGGTACGGATTTCCGTTGTCTTGCCATGATACACTTGAGTTAAATTTAACTTTGAATCTGTTATATCATTGTAATTATTTATTAAGTATCACTCTTTGTAATCTTATTAGTTATCTCTTATTTATTTATAAATTTAAGTTTTTATTGACATTTTTGTCAACATTTCACTCTTTTAAGGTTAGTTTGTATCACTCTGACTCTTCTTTTTCTTTATGATGGGCTATGTTCCGAAAACTGTCAGTACTGAAATTACTGGACGTGGTTCCGATATTATTTTCAGTACACTGGATTAGTCTATTCAGTACTTGACCACAAGAGTACGCTGTTGAAATCGGAACGGCAAATGACAGTAAAATCAGCACAGTATAAATCATATAAACAGAGTATGTATAAATCCAGTACTGACAGTGGATATCGGAACATAGCCTAGGCCACAATGTCAAATTCAATATGGCGTGGCGGCCAGACAGTTTCAGTTTCACAAAAGATAATTCTAACCTCAATTAATATTATAAAAGAACAAGAACATTGGTTCTATTTTGTTTGTTTTTTGATTTTTTCTCTACAACCTCAAGTCCTGAAAACATGACCGATTCCTTTCAAAAAGTAGCAGGATTTTGTTCAGACTGCGGTTCCATTTTACCGCCTTTGAGAGGCACTGGTGACGTTACATGCTATTCATGTTCTAGGGTTTTTGCTCCCGAGAGTAAGCACATTATTATTATTTAGACCTTATAAACATTTAATTCATATTTTAGTGCTTATCGATAGCAACAGTAAAGTTCATTATACAATACATTTTAATGATCGCTCTACAAAAGGCAAACAAGCAGATAAAACTGGTGAAGACGAAGAAGAGGGGCCCATTGTGGAAAGGAAATGTCCCAAGTGTGGTAATGAAAAAATGTCTTACGCTACATTACAACTGAGGTCCGCTGATGAAGGGCAAACAGTTTTTTATACTTGCACCAAGTGCAAATTTAAGGAAAGTGAAAATTCATAAATAAAAATAACATTTTTCTCATTCCATAGTTAGTTTTATTTATTAAAGTAAAAATTAATGTCCACAATTCATGAGCTCAACTCAATTTAGTCAAGTTCTATAATTGGGTCCACTGTATGCCATAGTTTTTTGTTTTCATAATACTTAATAACTACTTCGGGACATCTAGCATTTGCTTGGCTTGATGGCACTAAATCTGCTTCTTTGCAATTTTTCCACATCATCAAAAATAGCAATTCTCCTGTAGCATTTGTTGCACCAACTATTTTTAATGGTTCTAAGCCTCTATCGAATCCTTCAAAGTTATATTAATAGACATTATATTTGAGTATTAATTGTATTTTTACCTCTAGGCCTATTGTCTTCAGTTATGTTTTTTCCTTTGTTTTTATCTTCTGCATCAGCCATGACTTGATTGTTTTGGGCCTCGTAGGCAGATATTAATTCAGGACAATCCAAGTTTTCTTGTGGTTCCCACGTATTATCCTCCCTAACGAACCAAATTACAAAATTGAAGCTAAGCAAGTAGGTACCTACTTACTCATTGTATCCTTTCCATTTCAATAAGTATTCGACTTTTCCATTGCGAGTTCTTTTATCTAAAATTTTCTCTACAGAAAACTCTGCTGGTGGTTGTGGTTGACTTGTTGATGTAGAGGAACCGTCGCTACTTTGTCTAGCTGAAGAAAAAACTAAGTTTGAAGAAAGAGAAAAAAAAATATGCATCAAATAAAATTGAGAAGCTGAATATAAAAAAACAGGAAATTAGTTTTAAGCCAATCCAGTCTGACTGAAGTTATTTTGACAGATCCCTCACCTACCACCACAAGGATAATACATAATAATTATAGAGCATAGAACATAATAGACAGAGTAAAAAATGGCACCTTGTAGCTGGGTCACTACTTTTTTAAGTCACCACTTTACTTTCAAAATACGAACGAAAAAATGTAAATTAACTACTATCAGGCAGATTTAGAATTTTTGTGAAACTTACTTTTCACCATTATTTGTCCAATCCAAGTAGGCCTTGGGGAGAACTTAATTTTTTTGTTAATCAAAACAAAAACACCAAAAGCATTTCAATTATGATAGTAAACAACAATCAATAAGGATTGTTTGCTTCTCTTTGCATCCTTGTTTTACTTGAAAAAAGACAAGGACAAATCAGAGCAACAGTTTTAAATTCGACAAATCCTCTTACGTATCGTAGTAGATTATTCTGCTTACAGCAGAGATGGCGCTTTTCATTATTGCTGCAGCATTACTACTAGATGGCGGCATCGTCTATGTTTCACAATAAAATTAATTCGAAGAAAAATCCTTTTTGTTTTTAGGTGCATAGCAAGACAAACAACGCAAGACGAAGTCCCTTTTGTATTTAAAACAGTTCCAAGTATATATTTTAAATGTCAGGTATTCGGAACGATTTCAATGGGCAATAAATTAAAGGACGTTTTTTCTGTTTTATGTTTTATGCCCAATGATACGGAATGTTTTGTGGGTCCCAAACTGTTAACTTCTTGCATTCTGATGTGTGAATAAGTCTTGAATTTTTTACAGGGTTTGCCAAAAAGATAAAAACTATCCCCCCTCCTCATACACCTTTTAAACTTAACGTATGTGTCGGGGCAAAGATAATCCTACTCCGGAGTAGGATTATCTTTGGTCGGGGTAAAGATGACGAAGGACCACACAAAATGGAGACGCGCAATGCGCATCTGTAGTGACGACACAAAGCAGGTATCGACGCTTGACAATCTCATTGCCTTGGTTTGTCTCAATTGTTTGTCGGCTGTCATTGTCATTGTCAAAACGTGACGCGTCTTTCAAACCACTCTCCATTCTCGTCCAAATAGGTATTAGACCGCCACCAAAGAAGTTTCACTTCTTATCTAAAATCAAAAACAAAGCATAAAAAAAAATAAACAAAAAATGCCAAAAAATTCTAAAATGACATTTTTTAGAATCTTACATATGGAACAGTTAGAGCGCTCGAAACAGATGAAGTGCTCGTGCTCCTACCACTAATTCCAAGGAATTCTTAAAAAGTTCCAAAAAATGCCAAAAAATTCGAAAATGGAATTTTTTGGAATTCCTTGGTATTTTTTAGATTTTTTTTTTGAATTATTTGTCATTTTTTGAAATCTTGCATACGAAATAGTTAGAGTGCTCGAAACAAATACAGTGCTAGTGCTCGTCCAACTAATTCCAAAAAAAAAAAATTACAAAAAATTCCAAAAAATGCCAAAAAATTCCATTTTTGGAATTTTTTGAAATTTTTTAGAATTCTTTGGGATCTTGAATACGGAACAGTTAAATTAATGCTCGAAACAGATACAGTGCTCATGCTCTTACCACTAATACAAAAAAAAAAAAAAATACAAAAATTCCCATAAATTCCAAACTTGGCATTTTTTGGAAATTTTTAGAAGTTTTGGAGTTTTTTGGAATCTTACATACGGAAGAGATAGAGTGCACGAAACAGATACAGTGCTCGTGCTTGAACATACCAATGAATTCCAAAATGGAAAATTTTTGTGGCATTTTTTGGAATTTGACGTTTAGAAATGACATTATTGAACGCATAACAATAGTTGTATTCCTTTCACACCTAGGAGGAGCTCCGGAACAGCTCCGGAGCTTCACGCGCTTATTCCTTTCGAAAAGTGTTTGTTGCACCACGCATCTGTTCCCTGCAAATCGGGGGCCACTGAACACCGGAGCGAGTAGCTCGAGTGTTTCAAACTCTTGAAAGGAATACAACTATTAAAGGTAATAGTAGGCGTTTATCACCTCAGTGATTTAAAAACATTTTAACTCACTCTCGGCTTTTTAAGTCACTCATCTTCCCAACTAAAAATCTGAAACCTCAGTGATTTAAAATATTTTTAACTCACTCCCGGCATTTTCCTATCCTATCCACAAAATGGGATAAAATTTTGTATACATCACGTGAGTCAAAATGTTTATTCATTCAAAGAAAATTAACCCGCTCGCTAGGGCTCGTGGGTTTAAACTTTCTTCTCATGAATATTCATCACTTGGTGTATAAACACTATTAATCCTTGGTTTGTGTCAATTGTTCGACGGCTGTCATTGTCATTGGCTGTCTTTCTCCGTCCCTCTCTACGTTATATTTTTCTTCTCTCTCGTGTTTCTCTGATTTTGGCGTGGTGCATCAATTTAAACTTCAAAATGAGCTCAATGAAAAGTCAAGCCATCTTTTTCGATGCAGAGGACAATAAGGTTCACGCGACTGGGCCTTTATTCTTGAAACAGGGGAGCAGCGTTTCCCTGAGAACAAAAGTTCTAGTCTAAGTCTTCATACCATCGACAAAGACAGACAATCGTTCCCCTGAGAAGGCTGGGCTGGGACTCTGTAATGGATAGAGATTTTTTCTCTATCTCCATTGACGTCTCCTTTCTATTGATTTCGACAAGAAAGAAAAAGACAGCAAGTGCCGCATAGCGACCAAGTCAAAAATTTAGTAACCATGTTGGCAACACAAGCCTTTTCTACATAATTTTTTTTTTCTATTTTGGTTTCATATCGAAGTCTTTTCGACACTGAAAGTAGTTTCGAAAAGAAGCTCTTTGTGACACTCCTTTTTTACTTATCGGAAGTTGGTAACACTGGCTGACTGATGGCCATCGAACTGTCATTTGCGATTTTATTATTGGTAAAAATAAAAATAAAAAAGAAGATTTCTATATCTGGCGTGTAGTGTTACCAACCTAAACATGAAATCAGGAAATATGAGAATAAAATTTCCAAGGAAAATTTGTTTTTTTTTTTAATTAAACAATACCAAAAGAGAAAAAATAGTATAAAATATTCGTTTCATAAGACATTTTATCGCACTCGCCCTTTAGAAAACTCGCCTCCGGCTCGTTTTCTAATATAGGGCTCGTGCGATAAAATCACGTCTTATGAAACTTGTATTTTAATGTACTATTATGTCATACCAATACATTATTGTGTTTTTATACCTTAGATACCATCTACATAATTAATTACTTTATGCCCGTGCGGGCAAACACAATGCTAATATTATAACAAAATAGAGACGGGCATCTGCACTGACGTCACAAGGATATCGGCGCTTGTCAATAATAGGCAATACACTTTGCGCTTTATAATCCTTGATTTGAGTCAATCAATAGCTATCTTTCTCCGTCTCTTTACGTTATATCTTTCTTCGCTCTCGAGTAACGAAATTTGCCTGTGACGCGTTTTTCGAATCACTCTTCATTGTCGTTTAAATATCAGACATCCGCCTAAGAAGTTCCACTTCAAAATAGTATAAATCCAAGTACCTACCTGAGTACTCTCATATTTTTAGTGAAATACTGAAAAATAAGCATAAGTATACAGGGTGATTTACGGAGCTCGTGCATTAGCTTGCAGGTGGATTAAATGCTATTTCTACTAATCCACCTGCAAACTGGACAACTTCTAATGCACGAGCTACGTAAATCATGGTGTAGGTATACATAGGTACTTACTTAAAATAGATTAAATACTTTAAGATAGGTACCTACCTACTTTAAAAAAAATCTTTTCAAATAAATTCAAATTATCACTACATTTTTAAGTAGGTACATAGTAAGTACACACAAAGTAGGTACCTATACTTTTCAGTTTTCAAATTTAAGTACCAAATACAAGTATAGTATTTACTAAGTCAGTTGAAACAAGGTAAAGGTACCTAATTTGCAAGTGATGGCTGACTAGTGGCAGTGCATTTCCTATGAAAATATTCAGTCACCAGTTGTAATTTACCTTTATCTACCTTGTTTCAACTGATTTTGTAAATACTATACCTACCTACTTTTTTAAAATTGTATGGATTTTTTTTTCTTAAGCAGGTACCTACTCGCCTTATGAAAGTACCTAAGTACTTAGAGTGAAATAATAGTATATTACATACCGAGTAGGGAAGTGTTTCATTACTGTAGAAAGATTTTTATAGTCAATCGAGACGCGAAGCGTCGAGATTGATTGACTATTAATCTCGAGACAGAAATGAAAACTTTCCTCCGAGGTTTGTATACTATTTTATTTGCAAGCACCACATTAATTATGATTAGTCATTTAATTTTTTTAATATTAAAAAAATAAAACAAACATGCCAAAATGTGTCATTCACTGTTTTGACGTTTTTACCTGACAAGTTCTCATTGTTGCCAGCAAAGGTGAATAAATTACAGTGAGGGAAATCGGTGAGGGAAGTCGAATAGGGAAATCGGTGAGGGAAATCGAAGAGGGAAGTGACACAGGTAAAGTGACACTTTCAAATTTTTAAAAAGTCAGTAATGTCAAGATTACATATATGGTTGCAAATAAAGTATATTTTTCTAATCAGTACCTCAGCTCTGAGAACAATGAGAATAGTGGAAAGAAACTCCATTTGGAACTGTCGTGAAGCACATGCTTATAGTTATGAACAAGTTATTCTTGGGTTTCATTTTACCGTGAATTCTGGAACAGGAAGCTTAAACTCTGAAATCTATCACGCAATATTTGTGAATAGATGAGCCTCATAAAACTGCGAATGTCTCGAACTTATCGATCCCATGGTTAAATCCCTGGAACCGGTAGAACTATCAGCACCGATTCTAGTTGAATCACGAAAAGACAACTGTTATTAAAAACGTGATCCCTGATAACACCTAGACACATTCCAAAATTTGACATTGTACCATCACTTTTGACTTCTGAAGAAACATCACAACACTCAGAAACACAACAAGAATAAGAATTTATAGTTCGAAATATAAGGTCTGTTTCTGCAGAAACCACAAACCAGTCAGAGTGAATTTCATTGGTTGAAACTGGTTCTCTGTTCTCTGACTGTTTTCTACCAATGAAATTCACTCTGACTGGTTTGTGATTTCTGCAGAAACAGACCAATTTAATAAAATACAACGTAGCAAACTAACTCAACATCAAAGTAAATCAACACATTTCTATGGCCCCAAAAATACACAAACCTGGAAAACCACTAAAATCCACTAATAAACAATAGGTATCAAATACTTTTTAAGTAAACTATCAGAAAATTCATATAAATCCGAATCACATTTTAGTTAGGTAGTTTTGATGTTAGCAGCTCATTCACAAATGTTTCCATAGAAAAAAAACTTAACATAGACATAAATTAGAACAACCGAATAACCTAGTAG